CACTTCGCCACAGCAGTCATTCTTCCCGTTCGAATGCATCCTTCCCGCGGCTCAATGTGAAAGAGTACAACATATGGATATACATTCACACACAGCAGTCGATGGACGGACTGTAAGGTCCTGCATGCGGCTACTTCGTTGGCGAAAGGGGCGATGGGTGCCGATGAATCGACCGATGGACTGTGTAGTGGCTTGCTGCTTAAAAGGCCTCAGACGATGCGGGCGGAGATCCTTATTAGCGTGCATCTGCAGCCGATATGTGTGCCGTACTATCTACAGCTGCTCCAAACTGAGGTGAACTTACCCAGGCCAAGTTGTGACGCCTGGTTGGCATTCATCCCGATCGTGATGGGTGCTCGTACCACATCACCTGTCACCAGAGCATCAGCTTGGCCGCCGAAGTCGACCCGGAGGGCGACTGTGTCAATGTTGTTGGGCTCCTTGTCCACTAGGGTATGCGTGATCTCGAGTTTCGGGGGCGGCCCTAAAGAAGAAGTGTTGTTGCTCTGACTGGGGTGAGCGTGTGAAACGTATACAAGCACCGTTCCTGAAGTCCGTTTCAACGTCAACATCAGGGTGCAGCCAGCAGGTTAGGACGTGTATTACGTAAGGTGGGAGAGATGTACCTACTGTATGCGCAGTGCACTCGACTTCACGGTCGTTGGAACTTAGCTTACTTCACTAACCCACCCTAAACCCCATCACCGCATGTATGCAGAGTCTCCCCTTATGTGTAAGTCAAGGGAAGCTACTCCCACCTTCCACGTACACGGTGACGTTGACGGTTGAGGGGCTAGAGGGTGACAGACTGGACTGACGGGCCTGCTGAAGTTGGGCCACCGTGCTGCCTACGTTTCGGGAGTGTGAAGCCATGAAACATTAGTATATTAATACGATTTTATTCATATCTTGCGGCTGTGCCATGCACATAGTCATTATGGAGCTCCTTCATGTTTTCGCCAAATGCAATTTTATGTCCGGCGGCCTGTGCGGCATGAGCAACACTGGTTACACTGAAAAGGCACGAGGTCATTATTGTGACTCCTGCACGGCATAGAAAGAATGAATCTGCTGTGTAATTGCACACCCGCAATGACCGTGCTGTTATGGCAAGAGGGAATTGCCCCGGCATTCCTCTTGCATCAACATCGCAGAAATTACTGTCATGTTTATTTTTCTCATAAATTTGGGATGTGGGTTTGATGTACCGCGCAGGCGCAAAGTAACTCGCAAGGTAACTGCAGACGGTTGTTAAAACCTTGGATAAAGAGGCGGCAGCCTGTACGAGTAAAACGGTCTCATCTGTTCGCAAAGGACAAATTTTTTGAATTACCTGGAAACGCAACGAATGCTCCTACAAGCAGAGCCGCCAGGAGAAGCAGCCCCTTGTGGGCCATTTGTGTTTCCAACCCTTGCCACGCAATCGTAGTAAGCCGTGTCAGATATCCACAAAATGGGGATATTCCTGACACCAGTCATTACACATTAAACCTGGTCTTTCTGGCAATTATTATGAAAAGCTTAATCGCTTCGTACTTGTTCTTTCACCTTCGTTCGTACGAATCGCTTCGCATTCTCGACACCTTTTGATCTTCGTCCACGCCCACGTTTCAGCGCTGCCTACATGCTTAAAATTAATTGGGCAATGTGAGCTGTAAATGTGGCCTTCAGTCCGTCTGGGTGATTTACGTTATTTTGGGTAACTGTCGGTTTCGAAGCTCAGGTTGGGCGATCGCATTCTGGCGCACATTCCGCAAATTACAGGTTGAAATTTTAGCATTCCGTAATCCTTTTCATTTAAAAACTTCACTTTTCTACGGTGCTCTTTTTTAGTCAGTCGGTCGCCAAGATCTGTTGGGACCAGCTGAAGCGATTTGACGAGGACGGCGCCGCAGTTCCTCATTTCCGTTCTCGTATACGAAGTTTGAGACGGCTTATACAGATTTTATCCTTGTCACACATGAACTGTGCTCCAGCAGTTTGCGAGGGAGCGAGTTACGGTTTGCGAGCGAGGGTCCCTTTGTATACTCCACGGTGCTTCGTTCGACCCGCCAGTCTCACAGCCGCCGCCAGTCAGCCTGCTATGAGCAGGAATAAGTGGAACTCAACTAATACTATTTTTCCAAGAAGTATTACGAACAAAAATGTATTTTATGTGTCCTGCTGAGTTCGCGTTCGCGTTATCCTCCCGTGGACTTGGCCCAGGCAGGTTCTGAGGTTTCTGCAAAGGCACTACACCTGTATGCGATCGGGAGATGGCACCAATAATAAATTATAACTGCGAACTAACCCCAAAAAGTGATATATGTTCCCCAGCTCGGCAAATCCACCTCCGAAAAAGTTTAGTTCTTCGTCTATAGATCCTGCCCTCCGGGCATAACAGATAGGGACTGTCCATCCTATCATACCTGGATGCGATCTATAGAAGATCAAAAAACGTACAGACTTACGGACACGCTGCCGGTCCCCTGCCGGCCCTGCCGGCCTTCCCAAAAGCGAGGACATGCAGCGGGGCCGGGTACGCAATTGTTCTGTGTGGTTGTTACAGTGGGCTCCAGACTCACGAAGAGTAGAGCCAGCGGGCCAGCTGGCCGTGCATGACTGCACTAGAGAGTAATATACAAACTAGACAATGCAATTTTATGTGTGCGCGTGGCGTAATTCGGTAATTCGGTAATTAGTGTGTGGGAGTAAGCCGCCCAACGGTATTTAGTGCATATATTAATAATCTGGGAAGGAAGGAAGCGATTTTTGGGCGGGGCCCCAGCGCGAAGCGCCCAGGGGGGCCCCGACCTGTAGGATTGCCCATGTCCGTGTGTGTGTGTGTGTGTGTGTGTGTGTGTGTGTGTGTGTGTGTGTGTGTGTGTGTGTGTGTAACGGACCAAACATAATATCTCGCCCGGCTGAAACGCGTTATAGGTACTATACAGCATTCTCTATTGCAAGGTATCTCGCATGTAGCCAACAAAAATCGTATGAGCACAAACAAGTTTGGCTGCCTCAATTGACCGAGGCCAAAGTCACATCAACGCCTCTCACGCTAAATTTCATCTCAAAAGGTACCGCGTATCTCATATTTGAATTCTTAGATGACGGCGTATGATAACTCGAACTCCCAGGCCTTGAGTGTGTAACGGACCAAACAGAATATTTCACCCGGCTGAAACGCGTTATCGGTACTATACAGCATTCTCTATTGCAAGGTATCTCGCATGTAGCTAACAAAGACCGTATGAGCACAAACAAGTTTAGCTGCCTCCATTCACCGACCTCAAAAGCCACATCAACGCCTCTCGCGCTAAATTTCATCCCAAAAGCTGCCGCGTATCTCACAATGGAATTTTGAGATGACGGCGTATGATAACTCGAACACCCAGCTTGTGTTACCATTTGCCGACATGGGCAATCCGACTTGCCACCAGCAGGCCAACATAATTTGCTTTCATTTCTCTATGAAATACACAAGCTCCTTGTTTGTACATTTACTTTGGCCAATGCACGGGGCCTCCTGAGACTTGCGGTGTGCCCCGATGAACCCCGCGGCTGTGGGGCAGATTGCTGAGGCCGCTGGCGCTTCGGGGATAAACATCACAGACAGCACCGAAATTCACCCAGCTTTCGTTACCATTTGCCCGCACGGGCATTCCGACTTGCGGTCTGCCGCACTGTCCATGCGGCATGCACCCGGAATGGATGCGATTCGCGTGGAGCCCGCAGGCGGTGCTGACGATTCCGCCAGTGCAAGCTTAGCTCTCACACCATCAGCACTGCTGCAACAAAGCATATCTCCCACCGCGTTGACACTACCCATCAATTGTCACCCTTGCCACCCTTGCTACCGGCCTGTAGAGGGGCCCCGCCCTTTTTCCGGCTTCCTTGAAGCCGACACCCAACTTGTCATTTTTAGTCTGGTGTGAGGCAAGAAGCTGTTTAGGTCTGATTTCGCCGAGAATACGTAACACACACATATTGGCAGGCACGTTCAGCCGGGAATTAAATATATATTTCAGCTCGGGGGGAGTCCCTCTAATCGACAGATAGCGAGTCCTCCAGGCGGAATTATAAAAAGCAGTTATTAAATGCATGAACGTACCAAAGGGCTCATCAGACTCCCCAGTTCAGATTACTCATACATGGCGGAGACGTTGCTGAGGGGCAACAGACAGATGGGCAGCAGAGTGATAGTGCTACTGTGGAGAGACATCCCCAGCTGCCTCAGTTGCCTGTTCGCCCTAGCGATCTCTCAGACTGCGCTTGGAGGGGCCTGGGACCACCGTGCGCTGCCTGGAAACACAAAGTAAGCGGTATAAAAACGTTTTCCAGACGTCATGTCGTCGCTATCACTGATCGCCGCTGGCCGTCTTCTAGATCTTTCGACTCTAGTATTTTAAACTCCCGATGCACGTGATTCAGAAAACACCTCTCAATGGCAAAAATAGTTCTGTAAATTATTTGTCGCCGACTGAGGCCATAGATGAGCATAAGCCCTGCTGTATGCCCGTCGATGCCCAACCACCCGCTAAAAACCAAACCCCCGGGAATGATACACAGGCATGCGGGTACTAGCTAGCATGGAGAAGCCCCATCAATCGCGACGAGAGAGCGTAAATGGCTTAACATTGTATAAACAGCTCTTTTGCTATCGATCTGTCACACGCTCGTGCTTAACAACTGTTTCCATATACGGTCACAAAGACGACATACATGTATGTCACCCCAGCACGAACAGGAGGTTTATTCGATCCAGAACTCAATTCGTTCAGCCATAGTAATGTTCAGCAATCACCCTCTGGGAAGCGTCGGACCGCAGGCATGCATGCATTCAAGAACCGCCAACGAAATTATGACGCCGTTGCATTAATAATTCAATCGCGATTTCCCTCCACTGCGATTCCATGACTATGATTCTCAGAGCGGCGGCCTCCTGCAACACGGCTTTGCGAGCAAAGTGATGCCAACGCATGAAGAAAGTGATAAGCAAGTCGAGCCAGCGGCAGCAGCTAGCGAACCAGCGTATGTATTTCCGTGTTGTAGAAATAGATGTACCTGGGTGGGAGAGATCACACTCCAAAGAGGACCGAAGTGAGCCTACCGCTCGAAATCGCCGAAGGAAGGCTTCAGATACACAGATAATAAATATACACGTACGAACACATACACGCGCACATTATCCATAAAATTTCGACCTCGGCGATGTTTCTTTCCAATTCATACATGTTCACTGAGTCAGCATTTCCAGCACGCAGCTGCGCAGTGCGCCCTGATAAGTCCACTTAGCTGATGATGACTGCTGCTGCGGCTTTGAAGGCACACGCACGACACAGCCGCCGCGGAATGCGGTTCCTTCGTTGTGCATGCAACAGCCGGAGACACTACAGGCGATTGCAGGCGTGATGAAGATTCAGTGCCCGGATGCGCGAGGTGGCGAGCGACCAGCTGGTGGCCGCGGTGGTGGACGTGGTAGGCGCGGCGTGCTGGGCCCGCGGGGACCGCGAGGAGCACGGGGCATGCGGGGCGGGGGCCGCGGTGGGGGGGAAGTCCGCAGCAGGGGCGGCTTTTGGGTAAATTTGACTGAACGCGGATTTGCTGGACGGGGAGGAGGGGGCGGCGATGGTTTTGCCCGGCGGGCTGGCGGTATCCCTGGTGGTGGCGGCCTTGGTGGGGGGGGCGGCAGCCAGCGCGAGCAGTCCGTGTCGTCTGCGTCCACCAGGCCGTCGCTGCGAAAGGGCCATTAGGGAATGTAGGCGTAAGCACACACAAGGGTGTGAAAGACATGCAATACTTGCGTTATTTTGTATTCTGACATACAAGCTGTGCATACATACATATATGCATGTCAACCAAACTGGCTAAAACAGCCATCCCGGCAACAGCCTGTGTGTCTCTTGCCCGTGGAAGAGCTCCCAGATAGAACCAAGGATCAGTGAGCTCGCTCGTCAACGCACAAAACTAATGCCCCCAGTGGGATAGAGCCCATACAAAGATCGACGCTGGATTGCTAGCTGTCACACACACCTACGCAACAAAGGAGAGAGAGATCGAAATCAGGTAGCACTGGTTATTATTATGTACGTGCAAAGATCAGGCATGGCGGAGTGTTGGCGGAGTGTATCACGACTTCAAAAAGGTACCGATCGGCGGATGCAGATCCCGTGATGACATGCCCCGGGTACTACGATTATCCCCCCTCTAACAATATCCCTCTTAACCCTCTGTTTCGATTTCACATCAACCTGCTCACGTAACGGACCAACACAGCAGCTTTCCACCGACATATATACATACACCTACTGCCCAGGATCTGGTCCCATGAAACCCCACGCACGGCCCCACACACGCACCAGTCGTTGTCGATGCCGTCCGAGCAGGTTTCCCAGCCCTCCTCTGTTTGGTTCACGAAGCGGCACACCGAGACGACAGCTTGGGATGCTGTCCTGCTCTTCAACGTGATACTGACACCGCTTGTATTAGACAGGACCTGAGTGAAGCGAGTCACGGCAAACCCGTTCGCGAGTTGCTGACGCGCATTGGCTACGAGCGCCGCCATAACGACCGGTGGAGATCTCAAGTTGGCGGGGATCCCACTGCCCGTGTCATTGAACTCGTGCACCCTGCGTACACGTGTTTGTTGCCAACAGACACGGCAGGTGGCTCCTCCTTCGTCGTGCAAAAACTTCATTTGCTGTTAGGAAGTTGGCAGCATCAAACAATCAAGCAATTATCTACCTATCCTTACGTACAAACATACATACATATGTGCGGGCGTCTGTAAAATGTACTGGTTGTCTATAGATCGCGCAATGGGGTCATAGAATGGAAGATCCCGATATAATATTAAAAATGTCCTAGGGGTGCAATCTATAAATTTTACAGGCGGGTGCTCCCCGCGCGGAATCCACATCTATCTTCAGGTGGAGACGTGGCGACGGGAAGCGGCTGCCTGCGGACGCCTCGCAAGAAATATTGTCCCCCCAGCAGCAGCAGCAGCAGCAGCAGCAGCAGCAGCAGCTTACCAGGCGAAGTGAGTCCAATCAGAACCTAGGCCTGAGTCATATGCACCCGAGGCAGCCTGGTTGACCCTGCATGTACGGCAGGGAAACTAGTTAGGCAGACAGGCAATCAAGGTATGGAAAGCGGCGCGCCGCCATGAAGACCTAATCAGGGACCTGACGGCATTCTGTGGGTATGTAACATCATCAACCTAAAAGACTATTAGTTAAATGTCTTAGATACAACAAATACAAATTTAGGAGGTCATTACGACAGGAAGAGGACAATTATCAGACATAAAGAACGTTGATGCGCATCTGTACGTGCCTCTCTAACGAAACGCATTGAAGGGCGCAGGTATGAACATGCAAGAACGGCAATTGTACAAATGTAACGAAACCAGTCGTTAATGAAAATGCGACACGCGCACGCACCTGAACGACACGAACAGTGCTCGCGAAGTCGCATTGTTATTCGTCGTCCCGTCAGTGACTATCCGCAACATGTTGTTCGGGCTGAGGGCCATGGGCGGTAGTGTGAAGTCACGGGGAATGCCGGGCTTGAGGTCCACGAGCAAGTTCAACTGGCCATTGGCGATGGGCCTTGCCCAGCCGGCCTTGTAGGCCTGCATGCACATTTACATGGATGTGCGACGGGTGTGCGATGTCCGTCCATGACTGCAGCGACATGTATGCGTGGCAGGGTATCCCAGAGGTCTTTCTTATTATTTCCGGCAGAGACTTATTGTCTACTTGCCTGTCAGCGCCACACATACGGTTAGGTGGCTCTGGCCACAATGTCAGGCCCGGATTAATATGTAACAAATACATACACCAATCAATACTCGACCACAATAGAAAACAAACCCTAGATAATACCGCCATGTCGGTAACACAACTCAAGGTGTAACACGCATACATACATATATACGTACATACGTACCAAAGTGGCCGAGGTCCTTCCAGCCATGCGTGCACATACGCGCCTGTCCACTGGTCGGTGGACTGTCTATGACCGACCCGCCACACCTCGCTCGCTGATTCGCTGCTCGTCAACTTCAGGGAGGGCCCCACCTACCTGGGGCGCATTGGTGCACGTGAGATCCTCCTGTATGTCCTTCGTCGGTACGGTACCCATGGGATCCATGGGGTCGCCGTACTCGTTCCAAGTGCAGTTCACATTCCTAATTCCGTCGATTGACGCCTGACAGTCCCAACGGGAGGAGTGCGACAGGCCGATGTTGTGCCCTACAACCGCACCGGGCCAAATGATGCGAACACGCACGCCAGGTCACGTGTCCGTCCGTTTGTGTGTATGTATGTATGTCGTGTGTGTTGAGTGATGCATGCAAGTTGTCATGACAGCCATGGATTGTCCATCCAGTAAGCTATGTCATGTATGTGCGTATACTTTATTACACCTTCTGGTGAGTAGCCGCTCAGTTAGCCACCTGGGGGGCCACAAAGAGCCCTGGTGAGGGCGACGAGTCCCCAGGTCGAATCCTTTCCAAGGCAAGCCAATAACGCCAGGGAGACGTGCTGTGAGTTATTAGGGTAAATCGCAACTTCAGAAAAGTATCGATCGGCGGAAGCAGATTCCGTGTTATGACCAGAATACTACAAGGTCCTTGGCAGGCGACTGGCATGATCGGGGATAGAAATGCGCCTCTGCTGCCCTGCGCCGGGTAATTACTGCCCTGCCGGGTAATTACTCGTTGGAGGCCTTGTTTTTTGTATGTGTTACACATGCTGCTTGTAAAAGCTATACGGACTTAACGAACCAAGACGTTCCAAGGAGATATGGCATGGCGGGGTACAGTGTACATACATACAGACGTATACATGAATTGCAGAAGGACCATTTCAACTGCCTGACTGCGTGCATGCGGCATCGTGTGTGCCCCTGCCGGCCTCCTCGATCGCACTTTGCGCTGCACAGTATGAATGCGTGCTTGGTGTACGGCAGCAAACAGATGGCATGCGCATGCACTTGACTTATCCGTTTACCGTAGTTGTCTTCGTACATGTCGCACTCACCGAGTTCCTGGAAAAGGACGGGCGTATATACCCCCTGGTCCTGGATACCGTTGTTAATCCAAGTGTAACATTCGGCGCCCGCGCTGCAACCCATTACGGCCTGCATGTACATATGTATGTATGTAAGAATTCACATGCAAGTATGCAAGTACACCGGAAATGGATTGCATTAAAAAGCGTATCGACAGGACAAAGGCGTGCAAGTAGTAGACCAATGCTACATGCACGGTGTGATCGCTCGCGTGTGTGGGGGGGGGGCCCAACTAATGGGGGGCATCCCTTCCTACCTCGTGCACTCAATGCATGGAGGGTTTCCAGCTGAAGCAAGGACGCGATCTGGGATTCTTTGCAAGGATAAATTCGCCTCGCCTTGATGTTCATCATGCATGCTTGTGCACATATGTGTGTGTGTTACACCTCGGTTGTGTTACCCAGAGAGGTGTAACGAGTGCCCATACACGAGCCAGCAGAGGCCCAAGAGCCTAAGAGCCACTCATATGAGAACGCAGATGAGGAGCCCAACTCCGTTCTTGTAGACCTGGGTACCACGAGCTGATGATGGGCGCTACGTATTCACACCCACTAGTAGCTACGAATGACGCAATACCCTAACTGCTCACTCCGTCCTTTGTACGGTATGATGTGTTTCAAACACCTACCAGTCCTCCGAATGTGGCCGCTTCTTTATTGAACCAGTTGAAGGGGAAAAAGAAGATCTTCCGGCGGAAGCTCGACCAACGACTGAACAACGCAGGTTGGTTTGTCTGCGTTTGCAGAAGCGGGCAGCGGGCGGCAGTAGTAGTTTGGATGGCGGCATGCCGCGTGCTGTGGGGTCGGTCCACTCTCGTCGCGAACGTGAGCCGCCAGCAGCCCATAATAACAGCATGTTTTCATGTTTACAGGTAGATAGATGCAATAATTCAGGATTCACTATTGTCAACATCTTCTTTGTAACCACATAACGTTATTCAAAAGCCAGTAGCCAAGCGCTTCCTACGTATGTGTGTATGGCGTCTGAACAATGTGCGCACCTGCAGGTACTGCTTGGCAAGCTCGACCATGCCGTACAATTCGTTATCAAGGTTACGGCCGTTGCCACTGCCATTCTTAAGGTCGTAGATGCCCATGGACACGTTGCCCATGCAAGGGATGTCAACGTCGAACACCAAATTGTTTTCCGGTCGGAAAGTTACCTGGTTGTACGAGCAAGCCTGCGACGTAAGGTGAGCGGTTTAACGGAGGTGCCAGATTAATTATGTATACGGCATGGCAGGGACGAGGACGTTGACTAACCAGATACACAATACGGATGAAACATGCCGCATAAGTCAATGCTAACACATGGTCTGGTCTGGTTGACATTACTGTCTAATACAGTTCAAGGACATTGTTTCGGTTCTTGGGGAGACCCCCGACATTGTCGGGAGCGTGAGATTATGGCTGGCTGCTGAAATGTGGAGTTGAGGTCACATTTTATGGACCAGAATTCGCACGCTGGATTGGTGGCGACTGCTGAACCCTCTGTCTCTGCGGATGTTCGGGTGAACGGATGAGGAGGGATCCTAGAAGGCAGGATCAACCGCCTTGGACTTCCAGTTCGTATGGCGTAGTACAGTGTGGTAATGGTGGATGTTCCTGTATGGTATGATAAACCGTAGAAATAACAATGTGTTCAAATGGCCCAGAAGCCTCCCACCCTGTAACAATTCAATTTAAAAATCATACATGGAAAAGAGCAAGGCCGTGAGATAGCCACGGGAAAGGGAATGACTCCGACAAGAAATACATGCGCTCGCTGCTTGCTAATAAGTTGGCTGCGGCCATCTGTGCTCCAGGGCGGGCTCTTTTGTAAAGGCGTATGTTTGGCATGGTTTGCAAGCTGTGTGCACTGTACGCTACCAAAGAGACGGACCATCACCTTGCTCCGCAGGAACGCCAGAAAGCCGGCAGCAGCCCCCTGCTTGGCATCCTAGCTAGTTAGTTAGTTAGCTAGCTAGTCAGCTTGTTAGCTAGCTAGACCTAAATGCCGACACCCAGGCTCGTGTGTGGACAGTTTCTCGCAGATACGCTCGATAACTTACAAGCACAAATAAACATACTTACATACCGGCCTTTATGTACACACAGTTACGTTAATTTCCGTGTCTGCTGAGAAACAATTCCTACATTTACCATATTCGTGGCTTACGTTGTAGTAGCGCTGCATGGTAGCGACAATGCCGCCGCCATCAAACCACCATTGCCGTACCGCGGTCGCGTTCAGGGCGGGGAACACACCGCAAGACGTGCTCTTAAACACAAACGTCAGTGAGCTGATGTTTTGCTGCTGCCCGTTCACGACGAACAGATCCTGCAGGGACAATCATCCGGCAGGGTGTGGGGCAGCCGGGCACAACAGGGCGCAGCAGAGGGGCGTCGAGTCAGGTTCGCATCTCGAAACACGGTATTATCGCGAGTGTCACGAACAGAGACACCAAATCATTCATACATGCATGCACGACCATGCACGACCATGCACGTCAGCACGTATGTATGTCCACAGGCACAGCCAGCCAAGCAGGCCTGCTGCTGGCATTGCTAGGAATGTACAACTATGCTATCGGCATATATACCAAAGTGTTTACAAGTTAATGTAGCTTCACAGCACTGTTAGCGCACACATCGTGTCCAGCATTGGGTGGCGCGGGACGGCCCGATCGGCTCCCATCACTGGTCCCTGATTTATTAGTGGAAGGTGTCGATAGGTCGTGTAGCTAATAAGGTGCGTGTCCCTCCAGCTGATGACCACCGGGAGCTAGGATGATGTGCACCTCACTGATTGATCTGGCTGTTGCTTGGTTTGGCAAGACAAGCAACGTTAGTAATGAGTGCTGAACATGCACACACACACACACACACACACACACACCAAGAACATATGTATGCAAGAGTTCGCCAGGGCGAATAGATGATGGCGGGCTCTCTATCTTCAGGGATGCATGATGCAGCGACGCCTGCTGCCCAGGCTAGGAAAATGGGCAGCGATGCATGAATCAATGGAATACCCTCCACAACCTATTGCGTTGAGCATACGGTGCAGTACGGTAGTTATCCATCCCGACCGATCCCACACCTTGTTGGTCGCCCGGGCGAGGACTTGCACATTCTCGACGGATGATTTGGGTGATTGCCCCAGTGATGTAACGTTGAGGCTGCGAAGCAAGTCCAGAAGGCTCTTGGCTTGCTGCAGGGAGCGCCGGGTGTTGTGGAATTCCAGCACCATGCGTCTGGCGCGCTCATGTGCCTCGCTAAGGAGCCGGCGACCGGATTTGGATCCTCCAGTAGCTGTTGAATGCATGCACGCATATAACAGAAGTATCGGTACGGAAAACATAAATAAAAAAATGTAAGCACGAAAAGAAAAAGATAGGCATAGATGATATATGGGTTCAGTGCGAAAAAGCAAACAATGGTTGTGCCTGTGTATGTGCCGGTGTATGTGCCGGTGTACCGGTGTGCCTGGCAGCATTCCTTAGGTCCCACTGTACCAACAAGCAAGGCAGATAGCCGTGGAGTAGGCGGATAGCGGTACTTGGGATGACAACACCATGGTACGTGTCAGCTAATCCGGACGCATGGCACTCGGTTATTCATATGTTACCATTCTTCTAAGATTGTCGTATTGTCATGGATGGTTGAATGTACAAGCTTCAGCGAGCTCGTACGTACGGCTCAAACGAACCCGGAGGCTCATGAACCGCTTCCGCCACGCAAGAAAATAGAAAGGAAAACCACTACACGCTTAGCCATGGACTGTACCTACTGCGTTTTTCGCGCAGCAGCTCAATGCGCAAGAGTACAACACATACACATACAGTCATACATGTACGCCGCAGTTGGCGGACGAAATGTTGGCAGTGTCTTTCTTCTTAAGCGGTAATGTCCCTATAAGTTTATTAAATGGGATTTGGGGCATGGATAAGAAGGTCTGTATTGAGGCTCGCCTCGTCCAGTTCTTTGATTTCATCCCCAAATGACGGACAGCTCTTTTAAGTTGGAATTAGAGAATAGCAGTGGGGGGCCACGGAAGGCGATATGTCGTATATGACCAGCCCAAACTCAGCAAAGTATGCTTAAACCAAGGAATCCAACCGCGAACAACCACCAGAGAAGTTAACATTTGACATGAAAGTATCCCCACCAGACGGCTTTAAACAGTGTTTGCTAACGCCAGTACACATCGGCGATGGTGGGTTTGCAAGCGGACTTGTATCTTGCCGGGGGGTTCTGGGGGGCCCCTCCGGCCCCTAGGTAGTAAATCACAACAAATTCCTGAAAACCTACCACTTGATCAGTATTAAAAAATGACCTCGCCCTAAACGAAATAAAACACCGAACTGGCCCTGCAAATCACATGCGGCTGTCTCGTCGGCGAGTCGGCGGATTTTAATATATCATTATATCATACATACATTAATATATATGTATGCATATAATAATGTATAGACAGAACATTTATTCACCAATGGAGGGACGTACCCAGGCCAAGTTGTGTAGCCTGAGTTGCACTGAGCCCGATCGTGATGGGTGTGCGGATCACATCGCCAGTCGTCAGCAAAGAATCAGCTTTGCCTCCGAAGTCGATACGCATGGCGACCGTGTCAATGCCGTTGGGCATCTTGTCGGTCAAGGTGTGGGTAATCTCCATCTTAGGAGGCGGCCTCGCAGCGGTCACGTTGCTGCTCTGATTGGGATGACCATGGGAGACGTAGACAACGACAGTACCTGAACGAAGTGGAAAAATATAATGCATTAATACCTGCTATTTGTGCACGATAAGAATGAGCGATGTGTGCGTTGTACATTGATTTTCAGTACTGTACGGATTCCCTGCTCGCAACGCGCGCTTCGTATGTATATTCGACACGGCTTCATGTGCGTCGCTTGTGCGCGCTTCACAAGCTTACAAACCTTATCACCGTGTGTATGTACGGAGGGATCCTCTCATTTTTAATGCATTCGTAAATGAAGCTGTCCTCACCTTCCACGTACACGGTGACGTTGACGGTTCGGGAGGGCGGAGGCGGCGACTGGCGACCTGCCAGCAGAAGTTGGCCCGTTGTGCTGCCTGCGCGTTGTATTCACGGGACGTAAATTCCAAAACTTGCATGAATAGTAATTTAATGTCAGAATTAGGCATTGGTTGGTGTTTATTCAGACCAGCTTCTCCGTTTTCCTGACAAATGCCTTGACCTTCCCTTTCGAAAACAGACAAATTGCGCGATGTTCACTGACAATGGATACAGCGCGCCGTCCTGGCACAAATACGGCACGCAAGAATTAACAAGGTGGTGCAGGTGGCTATGCGGTGTTGCCCGTTCGCAAAGATGCAACATGTCACCACTGGTTCTGCATCCTTCCACCGCCAATGCAATAGGTAGCAAGACGTGTGAATGGCAACTGAGATATACAAATGTTCGGGAAGCGGGCATGCCGTCCTGCGCAAATCTAAGCGCTTTGTATCGTAACCGACCAAAACCGTTATTAAAACCTTACATAGCAGGCAGCAGCTAGTACAGGCAAAAAGGTTTCAGTTGTCTTCTGGAGATACATACTGTGCTCACCTGGGAATGCAAGGAATGCTCCTACAAACAGAGCAGCCAGGAAGAGCAGCCCCTTGGGGGCCATTTGTGTTTCCAACCCTTGCCACGCAATCGTAGTAATCAACGTTATTATAATAACAATGTGAGAGTGCTTTTCACAGCACTTTAAACACTTTATTTTGGAGATCATTAACCTGCATTCGTACTTCCTCCTTCACACCCTCTCGTACAGTCGCTTCGCATTCTCGACGGACTGTAGAGCTTTTCCTTCTCCCAAGCTATCAACCGCTCAGCGATTTTGATTCCAATTATATTGATCTATGCAAGGTAGCTGCCATCGCGACTGTCCGTATGCGAAAACAGCTTCCGTGCGAAAATGGATTATTCGTTCTCGGGCAACTGCCATTCCAAGCTCAAATCAGGCAGCACCCAGTCGGCCAAACCACATGTGATCGATGAACGATTGGTCTTCGTTGTTGTCAATCTTTTTAATTTTCGTTATGGCCAGTCGTTCGAGCTGCTGTTTCAGCTTCACTTAGCCGTTAGCCGAAGCCCTGCCCTGCCCTGCCGAAGCGAATCAGCAACAGCAACAGCTGCTGGAAAAATTGATTGACGTAAACATGATTTTCAGGTGTTAAGCTACCTAAAAAATGTTTGATGTGGCCTGCAATTGATCGGAATGTCACCGCGGATCGCACTGACCTCTTCGTCTCCCCCTCGACCCGTCTCGACCCGTCGTAACCCCTACAACTGCTGACTAAGTAAAACAATCGTATTCGTTCAATCCAGAAAGAAAGTGCAGACATAATCTCCATGTTTGAGTTTGCATTATCGTAGCCCGCAGCCGTTGGAGGCACATGCAATCGCAGGATAGAACGGTCAACAAGCCGCCGATGGTCAACAAGCCGCTCTAGAAGCCCAATACAGAAAGCCTGTTGGTGTACCGAGGGGTCCTCGGCCGCCACTTCACTCCGCTTCCAGCAGCCCCTTCCCGCCTCTCCCGGGCGATGTCGAGTGTGAGTACCTCAACTGCCATAATCAAACCTACGAATGCCCTTCATGCATGGCAAGGACTCCCCCACCCAGGTGGGCAACCAATAGGTAGGTAGGTGTACGGGTAGATGTACGTGCCGTACGCGAGTCTCCACATCCAACCCTCAAAGACACATTCACCCAAACAACCAAACCAATGGCAAGCAACCCAACTTCCCAGGACAAGGGTCCCTCCCACCTACACTCCGACATCTCCTTACACGTCCGTTGCCGCCCCTTCACAGCGGCCCACATCGGTGCAGAACGAAGGCAAACCCCTAAGTTCCGTACACGCAAGGCCTCTTAAGGACTTCCATCAGTCCTCAAAACCCCAAACAAGCGGACAGACAAACAAGCAAACAAACAAACACATGCCACATTCTCCCGTGCACCTAGCTACATGCAAGCTGACTGCCATACCACACACGGCAGATGCCAACCCACCCACCAACCTGCGTGGAGTAGCCTTTCTCATGAGGGGAACACACGATCCTGGATAAGAAACACTCAGGCCTACCCAAGAGCTGGTACGACTGCCGGCACAGTGCTTTCTGATCGGGGGTTTATGCCGGAGCGTCGGCACAGTAATGCTATTACTGCTCACAGCCTGGACAGAGTTCAAGCATGGCGCCTGACCGACGACCTCACGTGCCCAAGGTACCTGTAGTGGAAAGTTTTCTAACAGAAATACGGAGGAGTACTCCTCCTGCCTATGTCACATGCAAATCCATATCAGTGCTGCCACTCACTGGGGCCGTGAAGTAGCCGCAGTAGCCGCATTGAGCCGTTCCTCCACACTCGGCAGGATGACCAAGCAGAAGGTTCAATACTCGGGATTCCTATGGACCGCTCGGCCGTAGCGAGTGAGCCAACTGTCATAGCCCACATGCTATGAGCAACATGTAGCACAGCTGAAGCGAGGACACACGGATAGGGCTCCAGCCGTGTGATGCCGGTGGTGGCATCGATATTCGGCATGCACTGTAAGCACGTAATCCAAACGCACACTCCGGAGTTGGCAGGGTTGTGTGGGGCCCGGACTGGGCATGCGGCAAGCACAGGTCCAACGGATTTCCCGTCGGATGGGGAGCAACCACGGGGGGGTTATGATGGCGAAATATGCGCGTTGGATGGGTCTGTCGTTCGAAAACTCGGCTGGGGCTACCGGGCGGCTGCCACACATCCGGCAAAAGCTTATCCCGGCAGATATGCACCGTTCTTTGATGAAGTTTTCGAACGTGTTGTTGGCCGCTAGCGGCGAATCGTGTCTTTGCTGGGAAGTCACGAGAGCAAAGGATACGTGAGTTGCGTGTGCTGCACAAGGTGAAAGATGAGCATCGTACTCTTCTAGAATCTAGAATGCTCAGCTTATTCTGCATGTCGAGAGTTATCAGATGTATTCTTTAGCCACGATCCTGATATGAAATTGATTATGATGGTCAGCGAGCAAACGAAGCTGGCCCGCCTGGTACACAGCATTTGACTGACGCACTCGTATCTACAGAGTCGGTCAAAGTTCAATAGTGTCCTTATCTTCCTCGTGTGTATACTGCTGGGGTACTGGGGAACTATTTGCTTTGTACTATGTCCTTTACGTAACTTGTGGCTCTTAGGCTCTTGGGCCTCTGCTGGCTCGTGTATGGGCACTCGTTACACCTCTCTGGGAAACACAACCGAGGTGTAACACACACACACACATATGGGGTCCCTCACACAATTGAGTTACAGTTGCCAGTACACCAGGGGTGACCAGGCAGGCGGCTGCATGAAATGGCTCAACAACGAGCAGAACTTGCTCTCATCGTGCCTTATCCTTGAGCTTGTGGAGGGGATGCTTCCGCAGACCAGCAGCGGCAGAAGGTGGAACCTCGCCTGACGCTGCTGGCAGCGAGGACCGTGGCGGCTCTGGCCCTGATGCCGAAGCCAAGGACGGCGTTGAAGTCAAGGGTGCGCACGCGGCATGGGGCACGTGCCCCTGAGCAGATCGGAGCCGTGCAGCATCTGCCTGTGCGGCATTGAGCTGCGCGACGCACTCCTCCAGCTGCTTCCAAAAGATGCCCTTCATCTCTTTGATGTCATCCTACGGGCAGCGCAGCACACCAACACACAGCATGTACCAGAGAGTGAGGGGCACCGCTCCATGCCTCAGCGGCTGGCAGGTTGAGAGCAGCCAGCCAGCCTCAACCACCCAGCAGTTACTTGACAGGGCAGGCAACGCCCAAACGCCATCACATATCACCGCGCCGTGCGGCTCCCCAAGAAAACACATACAAATAGCTATTCCAATCGAGCTCACAGCTCCAGAACATGTGCCGACCCACCTGCAGCTGCTCGATGAACTCGTTTCGTTCTCCTGGGAGCAGTCAGGCGCAGCGAAAGGGGGAAAGAGGGTGAAAGGGCTGAGGAAGGGAAGGGAAAAAAGAGAATGCATCCCGGGAAGACAGGCGAGTTGCTCGTGTTGGGCAAAATCTAGGGATGTGCGAGGCCGGCTGACGCGGCATAGCAACTGCTTAGACGAACTGCTAACACACAAGAGTGCAGTGCTGCGCCCGCACCACACCGAACAGGGAGTGATCTCCAACCAGTAATAGGGTCTGTGGTAGCCACCCCTTTCAGTTCGAATTTGGGCCCTCTGCGAGCTTGCTTTTTTCCCCCCCAAAAAAAATGCCGAACCTAAAGGCACGTATGGCTCACATAGCCATAGGTCATGATAACGTGCATTCCACAACCTACCGAGCAGCTCCAGCAAAAAGTCCACCTTGGCAGTGGCCTCCTCCAACTGTTGACGAAGAGACTCCGCCTCCGCTGCGCCACTCGCCACTGCATCCGCTCGCTGCAAGGCCGCACAAAGCGCCTCAGCAGCGCCCTCACGCGCGGCCTCAGCAGCCTTCAGCCGTGACTGCAACAACTCCAACGCGCGAGCCACCGCAGCAGGGTCGCTCAGGGGCGGCCCGACAACGCCACTTCCCCCGTTCACAAGGGCCTTTCCACTAGAGCTTGTAATCTGTCCACCCACGTTCCCGGTCGTCCCCCTTGCTACAGCTGCTTGCCGTACAAGCGCCTTGAGCACGTCATCCAGCTCCTCCTCTTCTTCTGCCGCTAGCCATCCTCCCTCGGGGCCCCCGCTGGGCGAAGTGTGCCGGCCGCTGTGAGTTGCGGGCTCACCCGGCGGCTTGTCCGTTGTGGTGGCCGTGCCTGCGGTGGTGTTGGAGGGCGCATGGGCCCTACCATTCGCTGTTGCGGCCGCAGTAGCCGTCGCCGTCGTGACTGAAGATGTTGACGAGCGCTGATTAGGTGCGGTGGCTCCCCGTGGCCCACTGGCCCCGATCTGCAGCCCGGACTCCAGCCGTGCCAGCAGCTCCTCGCGCTCCTCCTTCAATGCGCGAACCTGCGGTAGCAGGTGCAACGAGAGCGGCGGAAGAAGGGGCTCTATGAACGGGGTGGGTAAACGTAGATGGAAAAGTAAAAATAACCCACGCAAAAAAAACATTTTGGAAGGGGTAGACAACAGATGTCTCAGTAGGATTACGTTCGATGACTTGGTCAGCCGCCCAGGGCCAAAGCAGCAAAAGCAAAAGAAGTTGACTAAGAGAGCCGCCCCCCGCCGATCTGGCAGGGCAGCAGCTGTCAACCAGAACCTTATTGCCCTTTCCAACCCAACCAAACCCAACCGAGGGAACAGCCCTCATCTCCAGCAGCCCCACTCAACTCCGTGGGCTCCTCTATCACCTCCGCCGCTACTACATGACCTCCCCGCCCATTACCCCATTAACCCCCCACCCTCACCCGCTCCTCCGCGTCCCACAGCTTCTCCCCCAGCTCCCTCTGGCTGTTCTCCAGCTCGGCCCGCAGCTGGGTCTCACGACCGAGCGCAGCCGCCAGCCGCTCCTCGGCACTCGACTGAAGTTGGGAACCAGCAGGTCGGGGTGGAGGGATACAACAACATTTGCAACACGCCCACCAATTCAAGGTCTTCCCTTTCGTTGCTAGCTTGGCTTTTGAGGCCTCTTGTTGCTTTGCCGGCTCCACAGACATACATACGCACACACGAGCACACCGCACCGCACCTTCTCCGCCTCCAACGCCATCGCATGTCGTTGCAACGTCTCTAATCGGGACCGGGCATCCGCACCGGAAGCTCCGGCCACCGCCGCGGCCTCCTTTGCAGCAGCGGCAGCAGCCTCAGCTGCAGCCGCACGCCCCACCGCTGCCCGCTCCGCGTCCGCCGCTGCCGTGAGCGCGGCCTCCGTGGCTCGCAGCCGGGCAACCAACTTCGCCTCCGCCTCCTGCGCTGCCTCCGAAGCTGCTGCTGCCGCTGCCGCCATGCTCTCAATCTGCTTGAGTAGCGGCCTGGAGGCCTCTGTAGTGGTGGCTGCGAGATCCTCCTTCTCTCCCTACCACGTTACGTTCCATACATACAGAGTAAGGGGGGCCCAGTAGAGGGGAAAGCATGTACTAGAAAAGGGAAAGGTGAAAATACATACAGAAACAGAACGAATGCAAAGTTAATTCCAACTTCCAAGGTCTGCAGACGGCCCCCACGTATACACACCAATGTGGGACCCCTCGTGCCCTCCCCCCCGGCGGACCTCCAGTTGCCGTATTCGCTCCTCCAGTCTGCCGCACTGCCGCCGCAACGCCTCCTCCCGATCCGCCGCCGCCGCCTCCAGACCGCTCAGCGCCGCCCGCAGGTCCGCAATGGTGGCCGCCAAAGCCCCCTCCCGCTCCCGGGCAGCGGCGACAACCTCCGCACCGCCACGAGCGGCCTACGACCATCAAAGGGCCGGGGCCGGGGCCTTAAGGGGTGGCTCGGGAGGGAGGGGCAGCAGACGCAAGGGAATGAAGGGGGAAGAACCGGACCGCGGGCTGCCTGCCGCCTCCTGTTCTCCCGCCATCCCTCTTCCCGCTGGAGCGCTACCACCCCGCTACCACCCCCCCGCGCCTCACCTCGCTTTCCGCCCTGGCCTGCGCCTCCGCCGCCTCCCTCCTCGCCTCCGCCACCAGTCTCTTAGCATCCATCCGCACGGCCGCGATCTCCCGCTCAGCCTCCTCTGCCTGAAGCCCCGCAGCGATACCAGTGGACACAAGACAACGGCATCGGACAGGTGGGTCATGTCAGGCAAAAGGCCAGAGACCACAACACGTCTTCACACCCAGCATCGTGTTGATCACCCGCTCTGCAGGTCCGAGTACGGTCCTCCTGGCCGGAAGAACAACGGCGGAGTGGCGGTGCATGGCTTGACGCAGCCTGAGCCACCCTGCCATAAGACTCCTCGTCATATACTGGCCAGCCTGGACACGGAAAGGTCCCCCCTTGCCCCTAGGCCGTCCTATAGCTTCGGGACCAACCCTGTGCCCACCTGCGCTGCCGCCGTGGCCGTCGCCGCCGCCGCCCGCTCCTGTGACTCCATGAGCTGCGTCTCGAGCACCTGTTCCGATGCACAGGAGGCAACCCAGCGTGTTGTAGCCTCTTCCCTTCCCCGGTGTCACATGCGGGCACCCGCGATGTCCCCCTCCCCCTCCTTTGGGGTTCGTCTTTCCCCCCGCCCGCCACCAGAAAGCACTGTCGCGGAAGGGGCCGCTGGAGCGCATTCACTGCCCGGGGCAACAGCGTGCGAAGCAGTACATCGCATACAGCACAACAGGAGACAGTCGTAAGACAGTAGCAGCTACCCCACCGATCCGCCTGCCGTCCTCTTCCCAAGAGAGAGAGCAAGGTCGCAGCGAGCTCGCAATGCTGTCTTGGCGTAGCTACCTCGGCCCAACCCAGTCCAGTGTCCCCATATCCACCCTTAAAGCACATGGCAAATATCGCTGTTGTGACCTCCTGAAAGCGAGGTTACATCCACGCATACAATTCAGCGGCGCCGCATTTCTGGTGCAACCCGTCCTCCGGCCCCTCCCTCTGGCCCCCGGACGTACCTTGAGTCGGGCTGACAGCCTGTCCCGCTCCGCCTCCACATCCTTCAGCACCGCCCGGGCCTGAGAGCGGGGGCACGATACGGAAAGCTATTGCCGGGATTCTAGTAGAGCCCGCAGGGAAATAAACGCACATTTGCATGAAAGAGTTGGGGCGGCATGGACAGAGCTAGACGACAGATTAGCCAAGCTTTCCTGTCCGCTCCGTAACCCCCTATGCACCAGGGGAGAAATTGTTTCTCGTGTTCGAAACTTCTTCCGTCCGCTTCCCTCCCACCTCACCTTCCTCAGCGCTGCCTCCTGCTCTCCCGCCTTCCTAGCCAGCGCCTCCCCTTCAGCCCGCAGCTGCGCAATGGTGCTGGACATGTCCGCTAGCCGGGCTTCACTGGCGGACCCCCCCGCTGCCGCCTGGCTCAGCTGGGCCTGCAGGCGAGCTTTCTCATCCTGCAGGTGTCCACAAAGGGAGGGGGCAGTGAGGAGTATGGAGAGAAGGAACGCACCGTGGGGGGGCGGGGCAATCAAGGGGGAAACATCCTTGGACTCCTGGAGCATAGGGAGGGTAAGCAGTCGACATGAAGGTACGGCCAATAGCGCTAGCGGCCGCAGGGGGATCTGGCCGCAGGTGCGGGGTCGGACCCGGTACAACCGGTACGAGCAAGAGGGCGTTCCAGTGAACGTGGTCCCGAGCCCCTCGCTGCGGAATGCTAGCCACGAACCCCAGCCCCACAACGGCCTCCTCGCCCCTCGCAAAAAGGAGTTATATTGATAGCACCAAAAGCATGATTAAGGCCCAAACCCCCGGACAGCCGTATGCTGTATGGCACTGCAGTTGATCCAGACGCCCCTCACAGGGAATGGGTCCAACACAAAAGGTCCAACACTCGATTGGCACGGGAGTGGGAAGCTGTAGGGCCGGTTGCGGTGGTTGACGGTTGCGTGCCGCTGCACGCCGCTGCACGCCGCACCTTAAGGGCCTGGATAGTGACATCCGCCGCCCCCAGCCGCTTCGCAAACTCTTCCTTCAGTTCCAGCAACTCCTCCTCTGTGTGCGTGCGTGCGGGGAAAGGGTGAGCCAGGCCGTGCCAGCTGGTTGCCGGTTGCCCCTTGAGAGGTGTGTGCGCGCACTGAGGGCCTTTCTTCGACTTCATGAAGTTGATGACAATTCCCTTTTTCCCCCCGGCTCAACCGCCGGTCCTCCCACACAGTCACCCAACCCAGTCACCCCGCCGGCTGCGTTGACGTCCCCACCTGCATCAGTGGTTGGATCCTGTGCTAAAGCCAGCTCTTCGCGCAGCTTGTCATTCTCCTTTTGTAAGGCGCTATTAATGGCGTTAAGGGCTGCCAGCTTGCTCTCATACTGCTTTATCCTGTAACACCCAGTACCCGCAGAGAAATTCAGAGCATCCACAGAGGGTAATGGGTATAGGTGGATTAAGCGAAGGCGCCAGACCACCAGTGTGCCAAAGATCAAATTAACCGCAACTGCTGCGGGGGTTTGTGGCGCAAGGTCTATCATACCTGTCAGCCATTTGCGCTTTGAGTGTGGCAATCTCCTCTCCAGCCATGGCTATGTGGAAGTGCTTACAAACACTAAACTAGTACGTATTTTCGGGACACGCGTTGTTTCAACCCATATACCGCCTGGGGTGTTATTCCCCTATCTCAAGAAGGCACCCTAATAATACCGTAATGAATTACAGTAAACATCGCAAGAAGGGATAGCCCCTTGTCAGGTCGACAAATGTTCACGCAGGATATCACAGCAAAAAATATTGTAATAAACAGGAACGATCTCACACTCAGATAGCTACAGCATAGGCGAAGCTTTGCCGTGGCAACAATCATGTGGCAACGTAGTACACCAATCTTCCAAAATAACCCAATCCGGTTATGTTTACAGTACCTCCTGCATGCAAAATCATTTGGTAGCATTTTTCGTTAAGGCGCTTTTGCGTATCTGCTGCTTCGGTCACTTTACTACTGTATTGAAAGGTTAGGTCTGCAATATTGGAGAGCTTTTAGGCTGCCCATGAAGGCGACCCTTAGCTGCTTGGCAGAAGCCGTAAAAGAAGCTACTCGCAATACCAGGACGAGAAAAGCGGCTTTAGAGCTGACGGAGGCAGCTGCAGGTGCGTCGACTTCACCGCGGACATAAGTATAACCCTTAGCTCGCGCTTGATGTTGTATGCAAATCTCGTGCCCCGCAGACCGAGTCCGGGAGCTCCTGAGCAAGCGACACAAGGTGCGTGAAGCGCATGCATGTTCTTGAGTGGTCGCTTTGCTGTAGCTTATGTAACATATTTTTTCCAGGAATATCTAAAGCTTGGTGTGAAAACGCGTGGCTGTAGCGGCTTGAGCTACACGTTGAACTATGCAGGTATGTGTGTTTTGCCATACCATGTGGGTCCCATGGCGTGCGATTTCCTTGCTTGACCTTTTCCCTATGTGTGCGGTAGATGCCAAGGGAAAATTCGATGAGCTAGTTGAAGACAAGGGGGTGCGCATACTCATCGAGCCGGCGGCTCTGATGCACGTATTGGGTACCAAGATGGATTACATTGAGGACAAGTTAAGGTACGTGCGGCCTGTTGCGTGCTGCGAAGACGCGCAGTAGCCCCCTTCCATCTGTGAGCAGCTAAGAACTCGGCGAAATTGCTATTGCTGCTTGCAGGCAGGAGTTTGTATTTGTGAACCCAAACGCCAAGGGGACTTGCGGATGTGGAGAGTCTTTCACGACGTGATATTAGCATAACAGTGACATAACGACGAAATGTGTCGTGACACGCTGAGTGTATGAGTAGTGTACGAAAGGCGCGCTTGCATGTTACAAGGGATTGAGTTGCATAGGGGCCACAATGGAGCGGAGATGCTAGGTCTGATCATTTCGGTGGGTGGTGGACATGGGTGTTTTCCTTTATTGGGGGGATGAGATTATCTCGTGTTTCACCTCTTAAATGGTGCCAAACCTATCATCTGAACCACATGTCAAACTGGTCTAAGCTCAAATTCAGCGACCAAGCATATCCAAAGGACATCATGCATAATCCTCAAAGCTCGCAACAATGCTTAAGACTTGTCTTTGCCTGCTCAGCACCATCGTGCACAGGCCCCAACTTCGGTACTTACCACCTAGCCCAGAAGCCGTGCAAGCAATTAGACCGACTTCCTAATGCTGTGGGACAACCGAGCACAGATTATACATACAAGATATTAAACACAATGCTCGCTGTGTGGCAGTCCTATACTGTACAGGCAATTACGAAACAGACGCCATTAGCACGCACATGGCTGACAGCCAATCAACTGCTATCAACTAATACGACACACCTCTTCCCGCGGTACCAAATCCCGACAAGAAGCCCGAAACCACGCAGACTGCAGAAAACCTGGAGCACCTTAAAACCTGCTCTGAATCAGCTGCTGAAACCGCGCTGCGACTGCTGCGACCAATTAAACGGGTAGATGGCCATGCCCCCGCTCCTGGTCCCTGAGCTGCATTCGCCACACGTAGCGTCGAGCCGGAGCTTCAAACGCAGTCGAGCGCAGCATGGCCTCGTACTGCTCCCGCCTCGCTTGGCGGGCGGCAATCCTCATAACCGTGTACAGAGGAATACCAATTAGGAAAGCCTGTCAAGGGGTCATTAGCGCACTTTACGCGCAATTTGATCAGAGAAACGGTGACGATAACTTCCCAGACAGCGAGATACAAACAGTGTGCACTTGAAATAACGCAACGCATGTGTCGTTTCACAAATGGTTTATCATTGCAGCCAAACTGTGATGCGAGGATGCTGCAAACCACGCGTGCCATACACAGGAACGCGCGGCCTCACCTTGGTTCCAATCCAAAACAAAAAGAGGGTCAGAGAGGTGGCGTAGTCGTCAGTATCATCACCGCTGCTTTGGGAGGGGCCAGTGCCGTCCATGCCATCCGCAACTATCATGGTGTGATGCAACACAACCTGCGAGAATGGGAGAATGGGAGATAGCTTGAGCCAAGGTAAGCCATCCGCATCCCACATCATGTCGCCAAGACCCTCACGTCACCGCTATGCTAGCGTCCTCCAATAGTTCAGCCTCACCCACGCCGCGTGGGGCCCTGCAATAATCCTCAGCCATACACTCAGCAGCTCAGCCGTGAGCTAATCCGCGCTTTGACCGCCATAAAACGCGGTCTCACTCTACGCGGAAGTATGTTGCTGGTGTTGCGCCGTCTTATTGGCATCCCCATCCTTTGATTGCCCTCGTCTGTTGCTTGCGGATCAACCGGCAACCGAGATCCACGTGGATGACTCCCAATCCTCTATATCAGCGGATATATGGACGGCCGATGCACCAATCGACTGCCATGCTTCCCTCCCCGCCGTCACATATCAAACGGCACATGTAAACGCACGCACATACGACCACCTCTTAAGATGAAATGAAGGCGTGCCCCAATTTTCAAGGCGACCTAACGAGGCGGCAACCCCAAACCCCACATAAACGCTTTATGGCTATCAGCAGGACTTGCGAAGTCATGGCCCATGGGTCCACGTACGTGCGCACATGCACATACGCACAAACATACCAGGAACATGACGAAGATCACGAATGTGAAGCACCAGGACGCCAACGGGTTACGTTGGTAGTAGTGGTCGGACTCGTCAAGGAAGTCCAGTGCAGGCCTGTTGTGGTGGCCGCCCAATGGCTCGCCAGCGTGATCCATGCGGATGGCAAACATCGAAGAAAACATATTGCCGGGATCGTCCGCGCCAGCAGCACCCTGCGGCGGCACTGAAAAGTTTCCCCGGTATTGCTGGTCACAGATCTCGCAGCGCAGGTTGCCCTTCTCGTTCACCCAGCGCTGCGGTGGAGCAAGCAGAGGAGGGTAGTGGAATATCAGTGCAGCTAAACAGGCAGGAAAGAACATTAACACGGCACAGATGTGAGCGAAAGGTTCAAGGGATGTTGGGCCCGATTGAAAAACCCTATGACGACATTGCTGTGCCCGTGCATGGCGCCGTGGGCCGTGCCGCACTTCCATCAGGCGCCTTCGAGCATCAACCAACACCTAATGGATACTTACAAAATGGTGGCCGATCCCCATCCATGGCAGAAAATCCTCGGGGGAAAGGTCTAGATGCTAGGAAGCCCCAAGTGCTTCGAAACCCCACAGATAGCATCAACCACAGCCTAAGCCGCCCTGGGTCTCACCTGGATGCACTCGTGGTGCGCATACTTCTGCGTTCCCGCGCAGGCGCAAGGTTGCTCGAGGTTGTTGAGGGAGTCCTCCTCGAGGCATATCCGGCACAGACCCGACTCCCCTTTGGGCGCTGCACCTGCGCTTGACGGCCCGCTGCCGCTGCTGCTACTAATGTTACTCTTCAAGCTGTCCTGCGAAGACGTTCTCGCGTGTGCCGGAGGTCGCGGGCCGGTGCCGCTGGCTCCAGTGCTCCCGATAGTAGAGCTAGGTTGTTGTGACGTCGCAGGGATGACTAGCACATTATGGCTTGCACGTTTTTCATCAACGTCGTGCTGTGGATGTTCTGCAGAAGGCAATGCCGCTGCTGAAGCCACACCAACGGAAGCGACATCCCGCTCACTCGTCCTTCCGCCCAGCAGCCGCTCCCTCTCCTCCGATACCTCCGCATTAAAATTCGTCATGTTCCTGATCGGAAATCCTCCTTTTCCTTAACTGGCGTTAGGCTCTCCTGCAAGAAGCTTCAGCTTCCCACAGCTCAACACCAAGAGAGGGCGAACCAAATGGTACAGATAAACGTGGACGAAGACACCTTCTGCCCACGTGGTCCCAAGCTGCCTATGAAAAAACACAGAAACGGGGAGCCTTTCGAGCGATGCCTTTGTCACCCAGCTGCAAGATTCGACCGAACACTTCACCAAATATACTTTGCAAATGATTAAGTATGGTAGACCCTACTTTAATGGTTTAACTGGGCATTGATGGCAAACACTGCACAATGCCTAACACGGAAAAACGATTTAGTTTCCTATCCACATCACTGTGTTTTAAACCACCGTTTATAGTCAGCTATCCTTTGGCCTGGAAAGTGCGACTCATCGGAAGCCGATTACGGCAAACCTGCAATCCCAAGGTACAACAGGATGGCATAGTAAATAACGCTAACGTTTGTATCAGAACCCATGGTAATGAATTTGCTTACACAACCAAGTATGTTTGCAGTACATCCCAGCATGCACTGGAAGACAGCAGAGATTTCAACCTCACGGCTATGAGGAGGCTATGAGGTAGCTCTCCGTCCGTTTCACATATAATGTACATAAGGTAACCTTTAAGTTGGCATTGGCAATTGAACAAAGCTTGGCGCTAAGTTGCCAGGAAAGGGGTAGGGACAGCGGGAAGGAGACCGTCCTAACTGCCGGACAGCCCTCTTCGCAAACTATGCCCACCCTGTCAACATATCACAGCCATTTCTCGTGCAGCAATTTTTACAGCGCATCCTGTTCTTATAGTATAAAAGATTGTGACGAAAAACGTAATCTCTTATGGCATAGATTCATCCAATCTGACCATAGAAGCCGGCACGCACTCACCAACCAACCCCCACCGTGCTGCGGGTGAGGATTATGCCACCGCATTGTTTTCATGGCCGCAAAAGCATGTGGCGCCTTACACGAGTTCTAGTATACGTAGACAGGAAGAAACGCGTCCCACGGTTCCAGGAAACAGAGATAGATGGCTTGGGAAAGGCACGAGGCGGCTACTTCCGTCTACGGACCACCGTTGCATCATGTAACGGCGTTAGTTGGTCTGCCATTCCCCACCTTTCCTCCTCGCGTGCTCCTATACACTGAGCCATAAAAGCAGATCCATCCCTGGACTGAAGGTCACCGCCGGGTGCCATCTTGGCCCGTTACACAGCCCTATCTACATACATACATACGCACCTTAACATTAGCCCTCGGCACTTTCACGCGCTGCCAGCTTCATTTCAATCCGCAAGGCATCACCCCACCCAGTGGAATGGGCAAGGAAGAATCACGGGTGGCTCCACGCGGGTCCTACACCTTCTCCGCTCCGGCCACCTCCTCCCCTAGGACGTACTCCCGCACCCAGGAGGGAACACGCCGTGGGCCCGCACTGGCCTGCGCCCTCCCTAGACCTCCAACCGGACTTGGGTCTGATAAGGCTGCTGCTGCTACCGCTGCTTGTGGCGTTGGTTCCTCCCCCGGCACAGCTGGTCCTCTGGATGCTCCAGGGGCGTGTAAAGGTAGTTCGTGATCCCGGGGTTGTGGGGCTGTGGTGGCCGGAAGAGGTGATGTGCTGTGTGAGGTTCCTTGGGATTGGTGCGATCGGGTTGCAGGCGGACCTGTGAACGGAGGGGGGGATGTGGAGGAAGGAGCAATCTGCCGAGGTGCGGCTCAGTCGCGAATACTGGACTGGGCATGACTCACGGCCCGGCAGAGTACCCTCACTTAGTAGCCGCATGCTGATGGGGCCTAGAATCACGGGCAACGTAACTCACGGGTAGAACGCTAGTGAGGTGGACTGCTGTGCCCGCAAGTCGTAAGGAAGATCCTTCCACCACAAAGCAAAACAGCTTCCCGCGCATGTGGTAGCACGCACTCAGAATATCCAATTCATTGACTGAAGGACCCCCTCCACATCATCAACATCCACGCCACAGAGCCGCCGTCATCGCCGCCGACAGCCGCTCACAGAAGATAGGACACTGGCGCCACTTGGCCCCAGCCAGCACCTGTGTGGCACTAGGTCGCACCTGTCGCGTTTACCAGCTGCGCAGCGGGTCCCGTCCATGAAGATGGGTTTCCTGCCAGACCGCATGCCGCTGTCCCTGTCCTGTCGTCAGGACGATTAACATGTTGGCCCACTGCAGCGAGCTGTGCGGCTGTGATGGCTTCGGTTGGCGGTGACTTGATGCTCGTTTGCCGTTGGACCGGGTTGGATTGCTGAGAAACTGCGCGCACGACGCCCTGCTCGCGCAAGTTTTCATCGTCGCAAATTCGTACAAGGCCACCAAAGCCTGTGGGGGTCACGGGGGCGGCGCTATTGACGTGCTAGCCCTTGAGTGTACTTTGACCGAAGGGTGGCAACAGGACGAGTCAGAATCATCTCGCAGGACCGGCCGCCATATGATCAGTATGCCCAATGAATGCTTAACGTGGACGGCTCTAGGATAGGCTTGCACGGTGTCATGTGGACGCTAGGCTTGGCAGACGCTTGCACCGTGCAAGGACACCGTGGGCTTTACAGGGGAAGGACATTTAAAACTTTCCTTGCAAGGCCCACTTAAAGGGATGACCGTTTACATGAGATCATATGTCGGCCTAAAATGTCCCACGGGCCAACTTCGGCAATCCACAAACACGCGTACAACTCCAAGACAACGTAAAGTGCGTTTTAGAGGCTCCCCTTGCCTGCCAAGACGCATACAGGCTACAAAAATGCGACGCTAGCAACTTGGAGCTGGAGAGCGGAAACGGCTTACCGTCCCAGGGCAGCTCCCGTGATGCAGCCTCTGCCGAATAATGTACTATTGCCACTGTTGCTCCACGTATAATAGCATCGGCGAGGTCTACGGCTGACATTTCAACTCCCGGCTTTCTTGAAGTTGTCAGGCCTCCAGTTCGGCGTCCGGAGGTATACTGTCTGCGAAATAAGTAATGCCTGAGCCATCTGAGATATGCTGTGAGAGTTATCCCACTTGCTGACACTATATTTGTTGCAATTAATTTATCGCTCCGAAACTGTTATGAGCCTTCACCTCAGTCACACGAGCAGTCTCACCAAATAAGTACAATTGTTACAAGGAGCTATTCATGCGCGCACTTATATGGAATGGATGGAACACGTTGCGATGGTTGCCGGCGTGACTTTCTTCAAGAAAGTAGCATTGTATTGTTACAGGACTGATAGGAAGGGTATATATTAAAACTAATTAAGCGCCGGTAAAGGCAGTCTTGCATTACAGCGCGTCAGTTATGGAGGAGGAAACGTACGCAGACGACTTTGGGGACGATGACGAGCTTTTCCGTAAGCACCGCACATGCAATCAAACATCCAAGGGGACATGTGGATGCAAGCTGACCTTTCTGAGGAGGCATCGATCGTCCCGTCTGTTTCCTCCCAACTTACCTTGCAAGCAGGGGAGTACCTCGAGGAAGGTGTGGCGTTGGAACCGATCTCAGCAAGGTGCGGCGCCGCGATTAGATGGGCGTGTTTGCATCTGGGGGAAAGCTGTACGTCGCCGACCATCGGAATTGCCCTTGACGGTTGTCTTGCTGGGCCGCTTGTAATCCCGTTTGCCAACAGGGAAGCGGGCGCTGAAGCTGGCGCCAGCACCGCCGTTGGTGGGCAGCCTGACGCCAACGGTGGACTGGCCGAAACTGCGAAGGAGTCCAAGCAGGTGCGCAGCCGTGCCAAACGTGCGAAGGGCGTACCGGGGCCAATGCGCTTTTAGAAGCTCTAAAAGTGCCTCGAAAGGATCACTTTCGGTTTATTGTTGCGCGGTTGTGCCAGTAGCTGTGCGGATACCACCATGCTTCTTGGACTTCGACTGCAACTGTCTGTCCGGTCTTGTCCGGACTATTACAGGCTGAGCGGGGCCTCAAGGGACCTGGGCCACAGCGGGGGATACCTGCCGCGTACTTTGAGGAACTTGGCACAGCTGGCGCAGTCACGGAGGACGCTCGGCGGCATGGCGGCCGAGGAGGAGGGCAACGCAGCGGCGCCGGCCGCGGCGGCGGCGGCAGCCCTGGAGCGCAGCAGCCTGGTGTCGGCAGCCGAGGTCCCGGTCTGGGGCTCATGCCCGGACCCCGCGGCCTCCCACCCGGCATGCGACCTGCCATCTTAACCCCAGTGCCATTGCCCGGTGGCCTCATGCCTCCCCCCCCGGGCATGGGGCGCCTGCCCAACGGCATGCCAGTACCCCTACCCATGCAGCTGCAAATGCAAATGCAGGCTAGGGGCCCCATGGGGCTCATGGGACAGATAATGTCGGGCCGTGGCGGTGTACGGCCCAACGGTGCCGCTGGGGGCCCAGTCATGATGCATGGCGTTACCGGCGGTCCTGCTAGCGGAGGCAGGGGAGGGAGAGGAGGCCTGGGGCGGGGTGCAGCTTTTGGCGGCCCGGGATCTGGCGGGAGCCTCATGATGCAGGGTCGAAGCGGGGGCGCCATCGCTGCCGCCCCCGCCGGCAGCCGCCTTGGGCCTGGTAGGCCGCCCCTGATGTCGCCGCCGCCGCCGCCACCACCTGCGAGACCAGCGGGGAGTTTTGGGGGGCCCCGCGTCCGGGGACCCCCTAATGCACCCCAGCCGGGCGGGCCCCATCCTGGGGTGCTTCCCGGGCCACTGCCGGGTGGGGGTGGGGGTGGGGGTGCAGGTGCAGGTGCCCTGGAGCAGCAGCAGCAGCTGCTGGCGGCTGTTGCTGCTGCTGCTGCCGGTGGAGGCAGTGGGCTGCCAGCTATGGAGGTGATGCGGCAGCAAATGATGCGGGCGGCGGCGGCTGCAGGGGCAGGCAACGCGCCCATGCTGGCCAACATGGCGGCTGCTGCGGGGCTCACCAACCCTGCCATGACGTACATGTTGCGAGCGCTTCAGCAGCAGCAGCAGCAGCAGGGCCCGGCAGCAGGCGGGATGCTTGGGATGGCGGACGGCTTGGCAGCGGGGGCAAAAGCTGCAGGGCTGGGGTCTGCTGGCGGCGGCTTTGTTGACGCTGACTCGAAGAAGATGCAAGATGAAGAGGCGGGACTGGGTCGCCCACCTCCTGTTGGCCTGGAGTTGGACATGCCCAGCATATTCCGTGATGCCCCCCGTGTGGGTTTAGACGTGGGGGCGATGGAGAGGGAGCAGGAGGGGTTGGGGGGGGCTGGCGAAGCCGGGTCGCGTCTGAGCTCCGGCCGCGGCCAAGGGGAGGGTGCTGCGGCGATGAGCGGCGGGAGGGGCGGAGCGCTGCTGTCGTCCGAGCAGCCGCCACCACCTCGGCAACACCCCCTGAGGCAACCCTCGCCGGACGGCCTTCCCTCGCACCTCCGGGGTGCGGTGGCGGGTTTCGGAGCCAGCCCCCAACAGCTGCTGCAGGAGCACCACCACCACCATCAACAGCAGCAGCAGCACGACAGCCAGCAGCAGCTGCACATGCGAGCGAGGGAGGAAGGGGCCGAGGGCACAGGTGGTTGGGGTTCCTCCGAGGGTGAACAGCCGCAGCGGCAGATGATCTTGAACCCACCATCGCTGCGAACAAACGGACCCATGCCTCCCTTGCAGGTAAGCGGAGGTGGGGAGTGGGACAGAGACAGGGTTGCGGGAATGAAGTGCTTGATTGGGGATGTGGGTTAGGGCAGCTGGCCGCCTCCACCCGCCTTCAGCTCCTGCCGCCCGGGTGTCAGAACGCCCTCCCCGGGTCGGTGTCTGCGAGTCGGGTTGCTGCCCCACAGTTGGCGGATGTTGGGGGTTGTTCTGGGGGGGGGGAGGTCCAGTTTGGAGAGTGAGGCCGGCGCCCTGTGCCCCCGGCAGTTGTGGGAATGAGGCTCGCGCCGGGTTAGGTCTCCGCGAGCTCTCCTTCCTCGGTCCCCTTATGCGTCGCTCGGGTAGCGTCCCGGTTCTCCCGCCCCCCTTTCCCCGTACCCCGGCCCTTTGGGCCCGACCACCCACCCAAGTGCCAAGGTCCCCTGACCCGTTTCGCGCGCTCCTGTCTTGCCACACCCCTTACCCGCCGCCGTCACTGGCCTCGTAGGCCAGCCCATACCACCAGGCGCTACATCCCTTTCGGCAACAGCAGCAGCAGCAGCAGCAGCAGCAGCGGCAGCGGAACGACCTGGGTGCTGCTGCCGCCGCCGCCTCCGCATCAGCAGCAGGCGGTCCGGCAGTCCAGGTGCCTCTCCCCATGGGTGAGGGTTGGTCCCAGCAGCAGCAGGACAGCGGAGGCTCCATTCAGCCCACTCACCCACACCCGCCTCAGCCGCTGGGCGGTCAGGTGCCGCCAAACGGCCACACTCGCCGGGGAGCTGGTCCGGGATCCCTACCGGGGGGGAGGCCCTTAGAGAAGCAGCAGGAGGGCGCGGAGGGGGGTCCTGGGGTGTGGGACTGGCGGCCGTGGAGCGGGGAGGTGGAGCTGGTAGGAGGTGGAAGCCTTGCGGACGGGGAGGACGGAGATACAGCAGCAGTGACAGCAGCACCGGGCGGGCGGGTGGAGGCGGGGGGGTTGGTGGCGGAGGGGGACATGGGGGTGTCTCATCCGGAGGGGCTCTTGGCAGCGGCCGCGGAGGCAGACCCGCTCCAGCCCCAGGGCCAGGCAGTGGATGAGTGGGCCGTGTCCAGGTGAGGGCCTCGGGTCCTGCAGGGGGACCGGGAGAGAGCACCAAGTGAATGGCCCCCACGTGCCGCATCTCCCCCTTAGCTTCTTGCATATGATTGGCCTATTCCTCGTTTCCGGCTCGTGCCGGTGTTTATTAGCGTCCTGCCTCCCTCCCCCCTCCCTCCCTCGTATGAAGCTGTACCTGCCCTCCCAACCTGCACCTCACTCATCGCAATGGGCTCAGTGAGTCCCCCCCTTGACTACTGCTGCTCCTACATACTTCCCTCCCCAATTACACTCTTGCCCTGGCAGCAGCTTCAGTCGTGTGTGGTTCGTCTTTCCCCCCCTTGGCAGCAGCTTCACTCGTTCGTGGTTTGTCTTTCCCTCCCTCCCTGGCAGCACTGCTGTCGCGGACATCGCGGCTAATCTCTCGCTGCCCTGCCAGCAGCGCCACACATTCTGCCGCTGCAGCTGCTCCCGCAATGACTCCCTCCCTCTCTCCTCGTCTGTATGTACGTCTGCTTTATTTTGACGTCTGGTGACCTCCTCCCCTGGTTGCCGAGTGCAGGTCGGGAACTAGCTGGGGTCCGCAAGCCGGGCCGGGTACGGGGACCTACCTTGTCCGACCCGCGGGTCTGTTCTGGCAAGACATGGCTCTTCCCTCTTCCGGGTCGGGAGCCCTCGATGCCTCCGCGGGACCTGGCCCTGCCCCGACCAGCGTACGGCACAAGTGGGTGCGTGAGGGGCCCATTGCAACCCCGGGTGCGGGTCAGGCGGCCGTCACTGACCCGCCTGCCGCCGCACCAGGGCCGCCTCCTCCCCTCCCCGCACTAATACCCGCGACACGGGGTTCACCGGGGTCCCTGCCCTCCAGGACACCCACCTCGGCGGCTACCATCACAGGGCCGACTTCCTCATCTGCGGTAGGGAACCATGGTTTCAGGCATTCGCGGGTGTCTGTGTGTGTGTGGGTCTGCATGTGTATCCAGTCTTCTGCGCTGTTATTATTATTATTATTATATTATATTTTTATTATTTTTATTATTATTACTATTATTATTTTTATTATTATTATTGGTTACGCCACACAGCACCAACTGCTCTCAGAACTACGGGGACTTCCCGATCGTCACGTCTGAGTCGGCAGGTCCCCGTCCCAACCCACTTAACCACGCATCTATCTATCTCGCAGAATGGTGTCGGTGTGGGCGTCCTGAGCCACGCAGCTGTCGGTGCGCCCACCGCGCCCACGCTGCCCTTGGCGGCAGTGGCGGCGGCGGCCACGGCCGCATCATCCGCCGCCGCTGCCGCGGTCGTGAGTAGTCAGGTGCTTCAGAAGACGGAGGACGCCATTGCTCTCATGAAGCGAGTCATAGCGCTGGAGGAGGCGCGACTGAAGCAGCAGCAGCTGCTTAAGAAGCGCAAGAAGGCGGCCACGGCGACTGCTGCGGCGACAACAGCTACAGCGGCGGGAGTGGAGAAAACTGGAGGGCCCGAAGGTACGTGGCGATGGGGTTGCAGTTATAAAGTCCGTTTATAATTCGTGCTTGTCAGTTGTGAGATGTGAAGTGCGACAGCAGCTCCCCAGCGTGCTCGATGTAGTGGATGGACCAGGACGTGCTCGGCTCTCGCCGGACTCCCACCCACTGCCCTTCGTGTCGCAGTTACAGCCAAGGCTGCTAAGCCGGGGGGCCCCGCGGCCGCAGTCGCCGGTGTCGGTGTCGGGGGTGCAACCGCGAGCACGTCCTCAGCACCACGGCCATCACCGCCGGCGAAAACCGCCCACGAGGCCGCAGCGGGTGCCGCCAGCGGGGGCGCGTCACTACCCTCCGCAAAGCGGCAACGGTCAAACAGCACAGCCGGGGACAGTCAGCAAGCGGCGGTGGCCGCAACCGCCGTGGCAGCAAAGGGGCGAATGGAGAGAGGGTCGCCCCTGACCCCTACCCCAGCTACCACCTCGGCCGCACGCCCATCGACTAATGGCGCGGCACCGCAGCCTCGTAATGGCACCCCCATGAACCGGACACAGGAAACCGTGCAGGAGCCGTACATCTTTGAGGATGACGGTACGGGACTGTACGACGAGCACTACGAGCAGCACCAGAACCAGCAGCACCCCCCCCACGCAGGTGCGGGACTGGACGCCATCACCCGGGGGGGTGGGGCCGTGGTGAGGAATGGAGCACAAGGCGGTGCAGGCGCCGGACCGTCCGTGGTTGTGGCGGCTGGTGGGGAGACGGCGGCGGCGGATGAGGCGTACAAAGATGGCAGTGCTGGCAGGCGAGGTGGTGGCGGTGGTGGGGGTAATCCTAGCGCCCGATATCAACAACAAGAGCAACATCTACAGCTTCAACAACAGCAGCAGCAGCAGGAACAGGAAGAGGAACAAATGCAACAGCTTGTTGACGAGGTACGACCTGACCTTGAGGATTGGTTTGTGCTGGGGTGACGGCCCGGGCGCGGGTGATAGCAGGTTGGAGCGGAGGGGAATGCAGGGCGCGGCGGTTACCTTAGCGGTTGCCAGTCTGGCCACAGCTGTTAGGGCTGGTGAGCTCCTCCCGGGAGGCGGAGGGCCATTGGGACTGGGGGATGGTAGTGATGGTGGTGGTTGTGGTGGTAGTGGTGCGGCAACCTGATTGTAGGACAGCGGCTGTTGTGGTCCGCAGCCCGTTGCGGCTGCAGGGCGGGGGTGTGTGTTGCCCGGGGCCCCTTATCTGGACCACCATGTCTGGGTGGGTTCGTCCTCCCCTGACCACCAGATGGAGTTGTAGTCCAAAGCAGCACAATGCTTAACACATGGACTCCCCTCTTCGTACACTCGCATTTCATTGCTCGAATGGTCATGAGATAGTCTTGAGATGCAGCTTGCGCGGGAGAATATCTCAGTGCATTATCACCTTTTGCGTGAGTTTACCGATTTTGATTTTGTTGTTGATTCGGATTCCCGTTGTGCCTTTCCTCCCGGGCCGCCGCCCCACCTGCGCATGTGATGGATCACCTCCATCCTCCCTTCTCTATGCCCTCAAATCCGATCTTAACGAAGCCCCCGTTGGACCCCCCTGCACACACTTGGGGCGCCAGGCTGACGGCGGCACCTACGACGACGATGACCTGCTGCTGAGCGACGACCTGCCCGCCGAGTTGGAGGGGGACGACACCGCGGACTGGGAGGCGCTCTCGGAACCGGCGAGAGGGCCCCCGGCAACTGCAGGGACAGCGGCGACCGGGGGAGGGGCAGTCAAACGTGGCAGGTACTACGAGGGTTTGGGGGGGGCCCTGGAGCCGGGGAAGTGGTCACGATAGGGGACCGGAGGTGTGTACCCCCACTGCCACCGCCATGGCCACTGGTAGGCTGTCGCCGTCGAGTTGTAGTATTACCGCCTGGTGTTGGTTGGGCGGGGCGTCCCTGCGGTTGGCTGGGCCTGCGGTTCACGACTCCCTCCTCCGTTCCATGCGGCAGGATGCACCTTCCTCCTCCCCGCCTAACTGAGCGCCGCCTCCCCAGCTCACATGTCCCTTGGACACGTTACTGCCCTCGCGCGCCACATGGGCGCACAGGATGCACTGATCGTACTTAGGGTTTTTCACTGCACGGCCTTCTTGCCGCCTCTTGTACCGCCACCTGCACCCCCACCTGCCCATGTGCCCTCGTGTGCTTCCGGGAACCCAACTCCGCCCGCCAGGGAGGGCTCCAGTGAGCAGGCGGAGAGGCAGCAGATGCAGGGAGCTCAGCGCCAACGTACCTGCTGATGTGTGGGGTGAGAGGATGATGTGGACAAGGGTTGCAGGGGGGACATCACGGGGGAACAGCAGCAGCAGGACAGAGGGCGTTGCTGCTGTTAAATAGCGGCTAAGTGGCTAACGAACAGCTTCGGAGCCTGGGCCTCCTGAATGTGTGCCACTGGCTGTCTGGCGAGGGAACGGCGGCTGCTGGCGGCTCCCGGTAGTGGCAGTGGTGTGGGCGGGCCTGGTTCAGCTGTTCGTGCTGTTGCTTGTGACGTGCTGCGAGGGACGGATGACGACTGCGGAATCTCAACTGGGGTGATGTGGGATGGCTCACACGAGGGGTACCTGGGCGGCTATGCCTAAGCAGTGGGAGCCGTGTGGGCCGTCTTAGCGGTCCGCGGGCGGGTAGAGGAGGAAGTGAGAGCCAGAGGAGTGGTGAAAGCGGGCACGGAAGGTGCTGGTGGGGCTGTGTCACTAAGCGTCATACGGCCTCTGTTCCCTCTTCTGTCAGTTGGATCAACTCCTGCCCCGTGTGGGGGAAATGGACAGGGAGGGAAGTCGGAAGGACTTCAGGAACGCAAGCATGGCGTTTATAACCTGCCCGGGGAAAAAGGATGGTCTCCCTTGAAAGTGGACAGGAGATAGAGGAACTGATCGCGTTTGAAGGGGAGAAGGGCTGCAGTAAATGCGTCGTTACACGGATTTGGGGACGGACGCAGTTCGAACGCTCTGAGCATGTGGTGCCTTTTCTCCGCCATAGTACATAATGCTACTTGTTTACAGAGCGGTACGGCAACAGAGTTTGTGCCACGAAGGACATACACATGCGGCAGAGCCACCTGGCTGTAGTCACTCTTCGCTCATCAGCTCGCGTGAGGTTGAAGCCGGTGCTGCTGGAGGAAAACCTCTCTGGTAACGCTCTCTATGGTCGTTCCTCTCCCCTCCTGACCTGTCGAAACTTATGTTGCTGCTCTCCCCTCTTCCACTCTCGCTACATAGCTAGCCGTCACTAATTTGGGCGCTAGAAAGAGCGTGTGCATACAAACATTGGCAGAGACAGCGCAGTACCCTTGTCTACGACTCCTCCGTCGCCTCGTCTCTTTGGTGAAACCCCTTTCCCCCGACGTATACACAACCCTGGCTGAGCGTCTGCAACGCCTGCATCAGGCCGTACGTCAGCTGTTCAACAGGCGACGCGTACACCCGTGGAAGATGACCCACTGCAGAGCGTAAGAAGCAAGTTACCAAAAGACGGAGGGACGCGGATAAAATGGAGAATGCAACTCCACTTCCTGCCAGGGGTCCGAGGTGCTGGAACTCAGCAAGCAATGTGCGCGCGCCCAGACAACCTGCAAGCCTTTCGCCAGCGGAGCGTGCCACAGCCCAAAGGAAGCCCAGTAGACCCAGCAGCCAAGCGGCGGCTCACGCCAAGTCTCAAGTAAAGGCAGAAGACAGAGGCAACAAGTGTGTCGGCCGGTGCCATCACCGGGAACGATCCATCTCCATTCCCAGCAATCGCCCATTCGAAACCGCGCCAACCAGCAGGAAAAACCAACGCCAACCAGCACACAGTCGCACTGCACGGCACCCTTCACACAGCGCCGCGAGACCGTGCTGTCCGCCTCCTTGTCCCGCCCAGCGGCCCCGAGTCCCATGACGTCTGCTGCTCTGACCCAGCTACCCCACCCCTTCCAGGCCCCGTCGCGGCACGACGTGCACCCGCTGCCCCCACCAGAGGGGGAGGTACGTCGTTAGGACCCCTCCGGTCTTCGTCTACAGACGCCGATGCCGCTGATCCGCCCGCTGGTGCAACGCGACTGCCTGCACGCCTACTGCCGGCCCCCGGTGCCCGCCCTCCGGCCGTTGCCGGTGCGTCTTGCCGACCTGCATCCTTGTTGCTACTGGAAGCGGTGTCGCTGCTCCTACTGCTGCTGCCCAACGTGTCTTCATCGCCATGCCGACTCCGCCCTTGAGTTGCCGCGCTGCCGGGTAACGCTGTGGAGGACCTTGATTGCCTGGCGGATCTGCTGCTCGTGAGCTCCTCCTCGTCTTCTGCACGATCCTGATGATCCTCCAGTTGCTGCTCCCCTGAAAACTGGTCACTGCTCTCCTGGGCGTGTGCACCTTCCTCATCCTCCTCATCCTCATCAAATTCGAGGTTCTCCATGATCTCCTCGAACAGCTGCAGGCAGGCCAAAATGCGGACCGCAATAAGAATCAGACGATGCACCACCCCGCCGCACAGCACAAGTTAATGCTGCAGCTAATGTTAGCTGCACAAATGCGCGGGGTAACCTCTTGAATGACCCTGCCGTTATACGCCCTGGCACCGGAAGGAGCCTTGAACGCATTGTAGGTTACACTCGCTTGCCCTGCAGGATATTGTCCATATTCGGCACACCCTTCCTCCATATTGTCATCAGGCCTGTCAGGCATATTTTTATACTAGCTGTTATCAGCTTTGGCGCATAATTTTTTCACCCCTTCCAAAAGTATACACCAAGCGTACAACGCATGTGGCCCCCTGCAGGAAGGCCATCTTGCCCCTTCCCATCGCAGTCACAGCGAGCCAGCCAGCCATGTGTGGCCCTCGACCTGCTCAACAGCCCTGCCACCTCCCTTACCGCAATGTCAGCCTCCTCGTCAAACAGCGCGTACTCGCGCTCGCCCGCTTCTGCACGCGGTGGCAGGGAGCTAGGGTCGCGTGCTGCGGCCTCTGCAATGCTCCGGAACGCGACCAGGTTCTCGCTGAAAATGGGCATCAAGCTGTTTTGAACACCGAAGACGCCCACTTTGAGGTCAACCAGAAGGTCCGGTAACGCCTGAGAGAAACTCAATTTCACCTGCGTCTTACCGCTTCGAAGCGGCTTGAACGCCACAAACCCTGTCCGTTGAGGTTAGAATTCCGACAGCGCAGGGGAGGGCATGGGGCAGGGTGGGTTGTGACTGCAAGTGTAAGGACAAGGCAACATGGTCGGCCTCAGCCTGCTGCACCAAGCTGTGATGGCCGATGTTGTGTATGAAGTCCTGGGAAAGCTAACTTCCGCAAACAAGACTGAAAACACGTGGTTACCGACAGCGGGGCTGCCACATCATTCGGAAGTCGTGCATATATGAACCACCTACAAAACGTATCAAAATATGTCCTTATATCTGCAAGCCTGTGCCTCCGGCTCATTAACTTGCCCACCTGACATCGGCATCCCCCAAACGGACTCGAACGCTATACGTTTGTCCGGCACAACTTCCGTCTTCTGAAGGACGAAAACAATTTCCATCACAGGAAGTAAACCTGTAAAGCAAAATGAAATCGTCGCAAGGACGATCGGCGCAACGCGAGATCGGCTGGCGTGCGCCAACTCAAACTGTCGGCACAGGCTTACCGTGCCGGTAAAAGCACTGAAATAGCGCAAGGTCCGGATTGTTGGCGTCGAGACCAATCTGCATCAAGAAGACCACTTAGTATCCTCAAACCCCAGCGGCAGAGGACTTCCGGTTGGACATACCTGCGCTACGAGGTCCAAGAACTCTACAAGCCTATTCCAATCATTCCAAATACCGAAGCAGACGCTTGCTGGTGCGTCAACTTCAATAACAAACGTGTGCTTGGCGACATCCTTCTCGTCTTCCGAAAAGGAAATATAGTTCGCCGGAGTGTATCCGCTAATGACTGACTCTTGCCCAGGCCCAGGTTCTGCAGCAGAACTGCAACGCAAGCTAGCTCCTCTTAGTCTATAATTGGTTGCGGCACCAGGAAAATATGGGCAGCTAGCAGCCACACGACTGCTGGCGCCGCAAGCTGACGATGGCCGCCGCCCAACAAGCTGACTCCAAGCAGCTACGTGATGAGCTTGTCGCACATGTGTAGCAAATTTAATGGGTCGAATTGTATATGAGCAGCTGCAGGTAGATTGCTGCACAGTTCGGCTTTCTTGAAGCCTCTGACCGCTAGCGTGCGTCAATTGCGACAGCATACTGCTACTTCTTCAATGCATACATTAGCACCAATTGAGACGACATGCCTGCAAGCCTATACAATAGGTGTCTTGCTCAGAGCAGCTTCCTTTGCCCCTCCGAAGCCAGTCGTTGTACGATTAAATGTTTCCTATAGTTCGTGCAAAGACGCTTAGTGAATAACCTGCTCAATTATATGGAGTGGGGATGATCTCATAAAATTTCAAGGAGGGTAAATACTTGAGCATCGACTCTACGCATGATTATTTAAAGTTTTCGAGCGAAGATCAGAATTCTTGCAGTCTGACTGAACAGAGGTACAAAGAACATTATCCAAAATGTCTTTGATGAGTCAAGTGTATGTGTCCAAGGCACAGTCGCATCCTCTGATTGCGTACGGCCCCAACGTTTATCGTCATTGAGGTCATTACGGGCCCTTCTCCATCTGGGTCAGCGTAGAATTCGGCTCTACATATAAACACAGCTCATAATTGGTGGCATTCACCGTTCGTTAAGTGTGTTTTTTAAGCTGCAAAACGTTCAACTAACTCCGTGACTGAAGATTGTGAGACGCTCGAGTTCGCTCCGGATTAGGCATTGAAGATGGCGCTAAGTGTTGTTGACTCCATCTCACGTCGGGGGCCGCCCCAGACCTTACACCATGGAAGCAACGTCTCCTCACATGCCACCTCAGCCGTGGTGGGCGGTTGTTGGCGAAGCGTCCCTGCGCGCTCTGTCCTTACCAAGACAGCTCAGCGAGATGACATAGACGAGGCCGAGCGGCAGCGAATCACTCAGAACCAAACAGCCGCGGATGTTATGGTTCAGGCGTCGGCCGGCACCCGAGCCACTTCCCAAAATTCCTCAACGCATTCGTCACCTCTATCCTTTAAGGACCGCACCCGATTGCCGAACCTCTCTTGCGACTCACTGGGTTCAACCTCTTGTCTCAACATACTCGGCGTTGACGACCCATGCCTCGACGACAGGTCCGTCCCACGCTACCGGCAATCCCGCATTCGCATTGCACGAAGGGACATTTTCATCCGATGAATGACAACATTCCTCTATCTATCCGTTTACCGGCATTATCCCTTCTTGTGGTGTTGCTACCTTTTTCCTCCATTCCACCCCGGTACTCCGTTTACTAGCTAGTAGCTGCCGTTTAGCTGCTGTTACCCGATGATGGTGATGGTAACGATGACAGTGATGGCGGCCGCAACCGGGGGGTCTGATGACCAGGGTGGGCTCGCTCACCCTCTCGTCACGCTCCGCACCTCTTCCATTTGTCATGTCGAGTCTTTCCTCCCCGATGGTCCCCGCCGCCCCCAATCAGTGTTACCCTCCCTCCCCCCCCCCCCCCCGGTGCTCCATCTCCGCCCCCAGCCAGAGCTAAGCCTGCTGCCCTGCTGCCACCTCGCCTGTCACTGCCTTACCTTCCGCAGTCTGGATCTCAAGATATACGAGTACATGGTGGAACTTGTACGGAGCGGTACGACACAGGAGCGGGCTGCCGAGGTAATATCCCAGTGGAGCGGTGGTGGCGGTGTGGAGGCGGTCGACGTTAACAAGCTCAGGTCGTACTTCATGAGGACCACCCTGGAGCAGGTGATCCAGGTACATGGCTTTAAGGTGGGTGAGCGGGGGTGGGGGTGGGGAGGGAAGGGGAGGTGGAGAGGGCGGGATGGGAGCTGGGAAGGTCAATTTCCCCCGTGCATGGACGAGGCCGCATGGCTAGTCGCAGTCTTCCCTTCCCCAACTACTCGGGGGCCCCCCCTCACTCCCCTCCCCGCCGCCCTCCACTGCCGCCCCTGCCGTCACCTGCTCCAGGCTGCGCTGCCGCTGCTGGCGACGTGTATGTCGTACTGGAGTCTGGGACTGCTCCCCTCCACTGACGAGGCCGTACTTCCCCCGGCAGTACGGGGTGCTCTGGTGGTGGCCAACCTGCTGCTGCTGGTGGTGTTCGCGTCCCGGGGCCTCAAGAACGCAGGTGGCTGCGGGGTGGAGGCGGTCGTCCTCACGCACCCTAACTACTGCCAATACCCGGCCCCCCTTGCAAGGGCACGCACATTGCACCCACTGCCTCCCCGGGCCCCTCCCCGGGGCCCCTCCGGACGGTGCTTCAAGAACGAAACCCGTCATCTCACCCCGTCCCTCCCTCTCCTCGGCCCCCCCCCGCAGGTCGGCTTATTCGTGTGGGTCGTGTGGCGGTGCAGTTCAGCGCTCGGGCGGAGCTGGTGCTGCTGGCTGTGCGGGTGAGGGGCGGAGGAGGACCCGCGTGGAGAGAGAGGACCCGCGGGGCTGTGTGGGCGGGGAGGGCTCTATTGGCAGCGGGGGGGGAGGGGTGCATGTATGTGTCTAGCTGCCCGCCCGCTGCCTAAAGGATGCATGCACTGCAGCTGCGGCTGAGAAAAGCGCTAATCCAGCCACCAAACGGCCTTCCGCCAGTCTGACTGCCACATTACAAATGGTTCTAACAATATATGGATGGAGGTCCTGCAATTCAAAACGTAAAAACCAAAAATGCCATTTGAGGGTTTTACGGAATGTTCAGCGATTTTCGGGTTCTTGTGCAAGGGGTGAACTCCACCTTCAACCTCCCCCTCTACACCGCCTCCTCCCCCTCCTCCCGCTTCAAGTCATTCCCCTCCGCCCGCTGTCACGTGTTGTGTCCTGATTAGGATCTGGCGGACGGCCACGGCCCCCTCATCCGGGCGGCCCTGGGACTACCACAGGCACCAGCACCAGCACCAGCAGCCGCTGCAGCCACCCCGGCGACTGCAGCGCCCAGCGGAGGCGGAGGTGGGGTCGCAGGAACGAGTTCAGGGCCTGTGGCACCTGCCGCAGCCGCCGCCGCCGCAGCAGCAGCAGCCGCAGCAGCTACTACCGCCGCCACTGCGGGCCCCTCCTCAACACCCGCAGCTGCCCCCCTGGCGGCGCAGCGCCGCTCCTCCCGATTGAGAGTACTGCAGGCTAGTACGGCAGCCATGAGGCATGTCAAGCGCATGGCTGCGGCATCTGCTACTGCTACTGGTGCTGCTACCGGTGCCGGTGCCGGTGCACCGCTGTCTTCACCGTCGCCACTCCCCCCGACCTCCTCCACTTCATCCTCCCCGTCGTCCTCGTCTTCATTCAGGGCCCACGCCACCCCCGCCATGCCCACCCCCACACCCCGCAAAGCCACCACCGCCCCCCTGAGCAGCCTCCACGCGTACTTGGTGCTGCGGGAGGCTGCGCAGGTGACGGAGGAGGAGGGGGGAAGCGACACTCTAGCTGGGGAGCTGGGCTTGACCGGGGAGGAGGTGACGGCGGCAGCGGCCATGTATGCCAGGTGGGTGCGGGTCCTTCGAAGGTCAACTAGCAGAAGTTGCAGCTAGTGGTGAGGCGTGTGAGTTTGGGGGTGGTACGGAGTGCCGTACGTGACGTGATGTAATGCGATGGGGTTGCTATCAGGACATGGATGTGACGGCGGTGATGCAGCTGACGGATAGACGGAAAAACAGACGGACGAACGAACAACTGGCTGACTGACTGAGCGCAACTGCACGGGCCCCCTGTGGTGCTGTCCACCTCGCCTCGTGGGTTCGCTACCCTGCCTGTCCTCTGAATGGTACGGCAGGTACGGCGACATTGCCAGGGGTGGCCGGTTCGCCGACTTCGAGCTGCAGAGGCTGCTGCAGGTAGGGGGATCAGGGAGGGGGCGGCTATGTGCAGCGTTGTGTGTTTTACACGGTCGCAGGTGAGGGAGGGCGGGAGAGAGGCACATTTGCTGACAGCTGAACGCCCATCCCACAACCCTTTCTCTTCCCATGTCGTGGCCTTCCTGCCAACCCCATCCTTCCATACCCCTTTAACTCGCCCCACCCAATCCTCACTCCCATCCGCACCCGCGCACGTACACGTACACGTAATGTGCCCAGGAGGTGGCGGACTCCCCGGACCCCCCCCTCACCCCGGACGAGCGGCGGCTGGTGCTGCTGCTGCACTCCAGGGGGCCTGGAGCGGCGGCGGCTGCTGCTGTTGGGGGCCCCGGCGGCGCCAGGTCGGGGTCCAGGGGGGCCTCGGGGCGGGGAGCCAGCAGGGGGGTGGGAATCTCCTTTGCGGAGTGGGCGGCCTGGTGGGCGGCGACCACCCTGGAGTGAAACCAGGCAGAGGAGGGCGAGAGGAAGGGGTGGGGGTGCACCGACGGGACTACGACATCCACATAGGTGTCGTCTGCCTGGATGAAGAATGGCATGTCGGGATGAGCGTGTGTGTGCGCGCATGTGATGTGGTTTAATCACTATCACCAGCGCTGAGGCATTAGGGAGAGGTTTTCACACACATACATACACACACACAGAGGGGCGCAGAGAGTCGAGGAGGCGCCCGAGTGAGCCTAAGTGGCCTATTTCGGGAGAAGCCCAACCTTCCCTGATTACATCGAATGCTTGCACGATTGTACGACAACATGGCCGACATTCAAACGCATACATGGCATGTGTGCACACAGGCGAGCATACATACATACATACGCACGCACGCACAAGCATAACAGCAGCATGTCAATACCACCTCAGCGCTCGTGCAAGCACACACACAGGAAAGGTGTCCCCACCACCGCCCAGGAAGTACCAGGAAGACCATGCACCCGTGTCAGCAGCTCGCTTGACGCAAGCATGCTTATTGAAGTGCATGTGCACGGGCGAGATTGCGGCCTTGCCTTTTGAGATATCGTACGTGCGCGCGTTCCATTGGCGGCCACGTTGCTTTGTTTCACGGACAGCGGAGTCGCACATTCAGAAGAAGTCGCTGATTAGCAGTGCATGGGCCCCCTTATTTGTTTACAGTAGATTACGCATGTATGTACGTGTATATGTATAATGCTTATTTGCAACGGAGCATTGCGCGCGCAGATCCGCGTCGTGCGTGCATACATGTGTAAACCCGTGTACGACGTCACGTGCACTGCCTGGGTGGTTGCGGTGGGCTGTTGCGTCCCAGCTTGCGGGCTGTTGTCTCCTCTTGGTGCTTTTAAACCACATACATATGTGAGTGCGTTGGTTGAGGCTATCAGACGGGGTTAAGCGGGTAGAGAGAGCAGGTAGGGACACAGCTTCCGCTCCCCCGCGGGGGCAAATTTGCCGGAGGACCGTTATGTAGCTTGGAGTTAGTTAGTTGAGGCATGAGTTTTCTTCCCAAGGTAGTTGTTAATCCGTCATACTGTGTCGTGCTGATGCGGCTTAGGCTGGCTGGCATTAATGTGTGAGTGTCTGTATCTGTGCTTCAGTTTCTGGGGGTTGGCCTCCATCCCCCCGCCGCCGGGTTGGTCGAGTAATGGATTGAGCCCATCGTAGATGCTCCGGTGACGTTGATGGAGGCGGGAGTACGATGGTACCTATGTATCGTACAGCGAACTTAAACAAGAGATATAAATACTTGCAACCGTGACTCAGGACCATGATTGTCTCTCGTACACAGAACGTGCAATGCCCTGAAGCCACCCAGGGGACTGGGGTCGCACTCGCACACCCTAGGGTCGCGGAAGAGCATCACGGACGGGTGAGGAGAAATACCGTAGCTATATATGGCTACCGCTGCCATGTAAGAGTTCGAAGTTCTTGCACTTCATATTGTCACCCACACAGCACGAGCCAAGCGAACGCAGCACAGCCATCCCCGCCCTGAGGTAACCAGCTGAGTTCGCAACCTTTTCAAGACCCCAACTCCTGCCCACGTCCAACAGGGGGCAGCTTCCCAACAGGTTCCCAAAAAAGCAGTCGCAATCACCAGTACCACCACCACCACCACCACGCACGTGTGCACCACCAGTGCCACCACCATGCATATATCGGCAGCGCATGACCTCCTCCTCCCGTCCAAGCCCCTCTCCTCCCATCTTCATTCTTAAAAACCGCGAACATTTCTACAGCCATGTTGATGGCCAGGTCGCCAAAAAAAATGGATTACGGACCCGCACGCCTATGAGAGCCGTTGCGATGGGAAGCAGCTGCTGCTTGGCGAAGCGAGCAACAGCAATTAAGTGCAGGTGAATACACAAACACCATTCTCCCGCTTACATATTCACCATACATGAATACCTCATCTGTATGGTCGACATTCGGACTCCTTACACACCAAGACACGTTAGTATGGGTCACATCACCACCACTGTCATCACCATTATCACCACCACCATCACTTAAACAGGATAAACGCCCCCTGGGCAGGTCTGTTGGAGTCTATAGAAGAAACCCCCCGGTAGCGCACCCCACGCACCTTGCGGTTACGTTGAGCTGTCCGTGTACGGCGGCAGCCCCCACTGCTCCGGTTTGAAGTCCTCCAGGCTGGCAAACACCGCAGTCGCCCCGCAACCCCTCGAGATCTCCTCCGGCATACCTGGGTACGGCACCATCACAACACGCATGCCCGCCGCCAACGCCGCCTCCACACCGTTGGGTGCGTCCTCAAACACGAGCACAGACCCGGGGGTCGGCTGTGGCAGCGGAAATCCCTCTGCGGCCGCCAGGAAGATGGCCGGGTCGGGTTTGGCCCTGTGCACCATGTCGCCCGTGATTACCCGGTTGAACAGTCCGAAGAGCTCCCCGTGTTTGGAGGTCTTGAGGGCGAACTGGCTCTGAGAGGAGCCGGTGGCCAGGGCGATGGGGACCCGGTGCGCAGCCAGGTGGCGGACCAGGCGCTCCGCCCCCGGCATCAACGGGGAGTCCGGGAAGACGTCCCGCAGCAGGGCATCACGCTCAGCCAGGAATTGCTGCGAGGAGGTGGGAGGTGGGAGGAGGGAGGGGGGAAAAGACGAACCACGAACGAGGTGGGAGGGGGCGGTTTGCCGGTTGGCGTTGGTGCATGTGGTGCACCGCATGGCCGAGGTGGACCTGGGCGGTTTGCTGGGTGGGACGCGGGCGGGTACAGACCAACAGCGGAGCATCACATCACATCACATCACATCAGCGAGGAGGTGAGGGGGGGGGGATCGGGTGCTGCTTCGGACCCCTGGCAAGTGTGCCGCCAGTGCACTGTCCCCGCTATCCCCCCCATCCCGCCTACCTCGGGTGTTATTTCCTCGGGTGTCAGCTGCAGCGCCTCCAGCAGCACCCGGGCGCCCTCCTGCGGCTGCCGCCCCATCATAAGCGCCTTCAGCTCCCAGGTGAAGGTACGACAGAAGCGGTCGAGGATGCGCTGCTGGGCAACCGTGTATGCACCCTCCGTGTCCAGCAGCAGCCCGTCCATATCTGACAGGACGGAGTGAGTGATTCGTAACAGCGGAGACGGAGGAGGGGCCACAGGCGGACGCGGGAATGAAGCCAATGCCAAATATGACCACAACGTGAAATCCAGTGTTGGGGTCCTTAGGATCTAGGGAGGGAGATACCCTACGGGCGGGGAGGTATGGTCGGGGAATTATGTGTGTGTGTGTGTGTGTTGTGCGTGTCGTGTGTGTGTGTGTCTGTGTGTGTGTGTTGGTGTTAGGAGGCAGTACAGCTCTATGCGGGTTTCTTTCAGAAAGGAGGGCCTTCGCAAAGGGAGTTGGGGGCTCAGCGGGTGGGGTGGGGGGCCGGCCTACGAGGGCGGGGTAACGTTGGGGCAGAGTTGGGGCCGCCTCAGTTGAGCTAACTGCCTCCTACCATTGTACCCCCTAACTCCCAGCTCGGTTTAAAAGTTAAGATTATTAGCAGTGAGACACATATGCTTCGATCTGAGGCTACCCGACTGCAATTACCGCTGCTATTGTCGATTCCCAGCACCCTCAACTGCTGCATGTCATCAACAGGGGCACAGCGGCCATGCGAATAAAGCGTGCTATTATGGCTTGAAGCCGCCCCCCTCTTGCTGTATCGAATTTTATCTCGGTCTGGAGACCAGGCGGCACGTCACTCCCTCAGTTCTCGTTTTACATCCCAAAAGCTCGACTCTCCCACTCGCACCAAAGATGACGGCTGACACCGGTTTCGGGACCTCTTGCCCGATCGCAACACCGGTAGGGTTGTGTGCTTCCATGACCGCGATCCGCGTCCTATACAAAATGCCGAGGAGATTCGTGACTAGGACACTCTCTGCTAGGATAGATCAGGAAATCAACCAGGCGTCGAATCACGGAACCGACAGGAGGTTCTCGAGATGTAAGCAACACCTTTGGCCTTCTTCCGGGTGGACGGCAGGTGTGCTACAGAAAGTATCACGCTTTTATACCAACCAGGTACTAGCTCTGCATGTAGAAGTATAACAAGTAAACGTGACGGCGGTGACGGCGGGAACGCGGCGAGACTCAGAGTCTGGAGCCCTGACGTTCTGTATCTGCTACATCAATAAACGTTATAAGGAGATCATGAAACAATAATTGAAGACAGGACAAGAGTCCTTGTCCTTTTTAGTCAGATTTTCATGCCCAAGCAGGTTTCCGCCCTGTTGTTTCTGCTTCAATCCCAGATCGGCCATATCACACCGGTGTATGGCCATATCACACTACTTATGGACAAGTCCTAATACTTGCCTCCGAAACCTTAACCACCACACCCGTAGGGGTCAATCATAGAAGAATAACAAGCTGATGAAAGGGTAATATAATATCTGAAGCGCTAATTTTTGAGTAAATCGTCTCCGAAGGAATATTCGATGTTCCCCAGCAGCAGATGGCGACCCTGCTATCCCCGAAGAAAGTGAGCGCCCTTTCTAAGGGCTACGGCTAGAACCCCCGTTCGTTTGTTCGTTTGTTCGTGCATTCGCGAGTCCACTGTGAAGAAAAAAGCTTAGAGGCGGCAGGGGAGAAGGTGGCGAGGTGCGGCAGGAGATAGAGGTGGCCGGGGGCAGAGGCGGCAAGGGAGGAGGCGGCAGGGGATAGAGGCGGCAGGCGAGGAGCAGCACGGGATAAAGGTGGCAGAGGAGAAGGCGGCAGGGGATAGAGGCGGCAGGGGTAATGTAAGCCTGGACTTTACGGGTATCCTGGGGCTCAATGCCCACGGAGTGTGGGGCTCGAGACGGTGTATAGAATTCAGTAACCGACATTCGTTGGTACATGAGCGTGTAGGCTACGGGTGTCAGAACCCCTCCATGCTAAATGCCGTGCATCCAAACGATGACCACTCTTTCTTCGGGTACATAGAGCCATAGGCTCCCTTATACGTGTACCACACTACCCCGCTTGTAAAATGTCCCATGATCCGTTCTACCCCGGGCACTCTGGATTGCGTGCAGGGCATCACATGCATGTGCCGTACATGCATTCATACATAGGCCAGGCACTAATGGTAGAGCATGCACCAATGCCTTCAGGAAATCCTGAAATCAAGACCTGTCAAGGTCGAGAATCCTTCCGTTGGTGGAAAGAAAAGTGCCCCTTATAGATGGGTGATGGTGACCTGGCATAAAATTACTTGCGAGCTGAACAGGAATGCGGTTGAGCCGCCGTTGATCCAGCAGATTCCGATGGATGCCGGTGGTGGGTGCGGAACGTAAGCGATCTACTGAGAAGTTGACTAGGGTGACTGGATGAGGGTGCCCGAAATACCGGGGAAGGCAGGGTTTCGCCGGGTAGTGGCCACGGGTGAAGATATGCCCCCCTGTCCCACACATCACACAGATAGATATGAATACATCAGCTCTATGCATGACAAAAATCGCTCCAGCTGCGACCGTGCATACTAAGACACACCTGCCGAATCCTGCATGTCTGGCCCAGTCGATGCAAGCCTGCTCGGCCCTCACAAACGCAGGTACTACTGGTCGGTGGAGAGCGTGAGAACACAGACTCACGTCCCGGATTGAATTTGGAATCGGCCACAATTGTTACCAAGTTCCATGTAACCTTCTTTGCAACTTGATCGTTTCGTTTCTTCCATCATGGCGGTCGTACGGCGTATACGGCACGGCCCAGTCCTCACTCCTCACACATCCTAAGGTCGAGAATTTATTCATCCAGCGGCATCCACCCTGTAACGGCTATAGCCTATAGCCTATAGGGCGTGGCGTTAAGAACGTCAGTATAATATATGGCTTCCCCGTCAATACTCCCCCGCGAAGATGGGCGCGAGACTGGCGTGCACAATGTTTCTATACCTAGTATGCATGTCTCTGTCATGCAGCTGTAGGCACTCAAGGGTATGCCGAGGCGGCAACGGGGATCGGAGGGGCTGCAGGAAAAGTGATCAACAAATACAGAGCAAGTGCTACGAGCTGCGCAAATCGTAGATGCGTTGCTCGGGTTCCTGGTCTGGTGGATTATTGATAGGGCTTTGGGCTACAAAAGGCTCTTGCAGTTTCAAAACCTGTTTTGACAGGCGCGATTGCGAAAGCTGGTTCAATGCATGACACCACCGCATAACCTCCTTCGCAAGTGTATGTAGTGCAGAAATTATTTTAATCTGAGTTTGGCAAAGAGATTTCTTGCATATGGTTCTCTTATTTGTCGTCGTATCGTGGACGCGGTAGATGATGTTGCTGGTACTAGCAGGATGTATATACTGCACGCTGTGTATAACCGTATGATGCGTGTTGCACGTTTCTTTCGACCCAACAGTTGTTACCATTAATGTTTACACCGCTGTTTGTAGTAATCTGAAAAACTCACAAAGGCCTTCTTTGTGTTTGGTCCCCAAGTGCTTAACATGCAAAAAAGAACGGTAGGTGTGCATACCTTTACATCCTGATACAACATAAAATACAACAGAAGTTGACTTTCTCTACCCTGTGATGTATGTGATACTCCTCTGCGTTGCGGATAGCGTTGCATTACAGTTGTACTGCAGGACATCGACAGAGCAGACTACACATTGTGTCAGCTGCATCCGTGACTTCAGAGTCTATGTAATATCAATTTAAATATCACAAATTTCTTAGCCTTGCGCGATCTCCTTGCAGCATACATTCTAAAATGCGTCTGGCTTAGCGGTCCCGTAAGAATTGACTTATATATATGCGTTCTTCATCTTGTTCGAAATGATACCCCAGAGGTACTCTGAATCTCGTGATCATAGCTATTAGGAACTAACTAGCAACATCATAGGAAGGGCTGTGGAACCTCGAGAGCACTTGCTTTTTTTGCCATTGCCAATGGGTTGTGGAAGCAGCGTAGCCAGGCGGACAGGTAAAGCAACAATTAATATCATATTCCCACGTCATCGCCGAGTTATGGCGGAAAAAACTTAAACCTATAAGATGTGGCAATATACATCGCTTTCTTAGCTGCAGCACAGCTACTCCTTTGCAGAGCCATGTCCATTCATAGAAATAATCCAACAGCTAAGTCGTAGCCCTTATCGTTTATGAAAGGAAGGATTTGTACGGCACCCGCAATTAAGGCCCTCCTATCAACTTGCGCAAGAGAGGAGGCATGCACCAGACATTTATGATTCCAATTGAGTTGCATAACTGCGATAGAGGCGCTGTTTCGCCTTACCATGTCCCCGCCCTGGGCACGATATCACAAGTTGGAGGCCGTGTGTGAGGCCGAAAGACGGAGGCAAAGGGGCCCTCCCTTCACTGTATTATTTTAACCCCTTACAAGCGTGCCAACGTTGTATGCGTCCGCTTGTCTCTCTATGTATCACCCTTCTGGCTGTGTGCGCCAGTGTGCGTCCGTGGACCAAGCATGCATTCCCTCAACGCAGCGGCGGTCAGGCTGCAACCTCGTTTGTCGAGTCTATCTGTCCACTGTCTGTCTGCCAGTACATCCTAATCCTGCCATAGGATGTCGCTCCCCCACACACACCCAACTTCCTGTTGCACCCGAGTTAACGCTCCGCCAACCCCCAACCTGCCCCAACCCCCCTGTCCTCCCACACCTCCCACCCCCTCAAACCCAGAGCCCAAGCCAACCGGCTCCCCGCACCCGACCTCCAGTCCCGCCCGCCAGCCCAGCTCCAGCACCCCTCAGCCACCCCGGCCACAAGCCACACAAGAGGGGCCATGCGGCACCCAACCTCAAACAGAACTGTCACAACCACCGCAACCGCCGCCTCCTAGCACCTCTGCTCCATCGATGGGCGCCACCTGCAAACCAGATTCCACCCCTGCCGTACAGTCCCAGGCCCAGCTTCCACCTAGCTACCCAGGTCCCCCACGGCACGAGGCCCCTGCAGGAGGGCGGCCCCCGGGAGTGGAGCCCCAGGTGTCAACACCTGCCGTACAAAACCCTCGGGATCCAGATCCGACCCAGCCACCGCAGGTGGGGTAGGGGCCGCAGACTGGGAAGCTTTTGTCTCCTGCTCGCTTGCCGGTTGGTTGACGGCTTGGTCAGCCTGATGGGTTGCTGCTCACCTTTCCGTTGCTCGGGTGCCGGGGGGGAACTCACATCCAGCCATTCGCCGTACAGCGGGAAGGTGGGGTCCAGCTCGGGCGGGCAGCTGCCCCCAGCCCCCTCCGGTTCCCCTGGAGGGCCCCCCAGTACCCCCAGTGCCGGTGCCCTGCCTTGCTTCTCCCAACCCCCCACCCGCTCTCCTCAGACTGGCACCCAGGAGCGAGCCCGCGAGCTGACCTCCCTGCTCGCCCGGCGGCTGGACGAGCAGCTGCAGCAGCAGGCGGCGGCTGAGGAGCAGCAGCAGCGGTTCCTGGCCAGGAGGGCGCAGTCGGGGCTGGGGGCGCTGAGCACCAGCACCAGCAGGAGGAGCTCCCTGAGGACCCACAGCACCACCGCCACCACGGGGCCGCCGGGGGGGGCCGCCAACACCAACACCACCAGCAGCACCCGGCGGCGGGGGGGCCCCGCCAGCAGTCTAACTGGCAGTACCAGTATCAGCTGCAAGGGCGGGGAGGGGGCCGGGGGGCTGGGTGAGGAGGTGGAGGCGCTGCTGGGGGGGTATGGCGCTGCTGGTGGTGGGGGCGGGGGCGGGGGCGTTAACCGGTTTCAGGCGCTGCTGCGGGACCTGATGGATTCGGCTCAGACGCAGGTGCGTATGTATGTATGTATGTGTGAGTGGCTGGGGGGACTTGTATGTGGGCTGTATCGTGAACTGTGTCACTGCGCTGTGCCTGCTCCCTGTCGTGTCGTGCCCCTCATCCCCCCCGGGGTAGCCGCTGGAATTGCGGACTTGATCACTGAGCCACGTGGCCAGCTCCGAGCTCGGGGCTGCGCCGCGCTCTCCGCACAGAGCGACAACCCACCGGCACACAACCCCAGTTTACGCACAGACAGACCCCTAGACACCCAGACAGACAGACAACAGCCCTCCAACAGCCGTTGACACCATCCCCTTTAACTCGCCCACCTGCCGCCTCCCGTACACATGCAATCCACCTGCCGTACAGCTCCTGCTGCCCGGGGACACACACACGGAGGAGGACGCCGCAGCGCTCCAGGCAGCAGCCGGATGTACGGCGGATCAGGCTGCGCGACTGCTTGACTGCCTGGCTGTTGTACGGGCCGCAGCGGATTCCCTGGCTCCTCCGGCGGCATCGACCCTGGATCCAGACGTGGTGGATCTGGAGACCGAGGCGGACGGTGCGGGCCGTACGAGTGGTACGGGTGGCGGCGGTGCCGCGGGTGCCGCTCCCGGCCCCCAGCAGCTGACCCGGCAGTTAGGGTTCCTGGCGGGTCTGGTGAATGAGGCGCCGGGCCTTAGGACGGCGGCAATGGCGCGAGGTGGGACCTGACGGGGCGGGAGGGGCGGGAGGGGGGGGAGGTGAGACTGTGTCGCGTGCGAGGTGATGTGATGTGATGTGATGTGATGTGATGTGATGTGATGTGATGAGTTGTTGGGGCTGGCTGTACTGAGAAGAAGAAGAGGAGGAGGAGGGGGAGGATCTGCAGGCATTCAGCGGAGTGCGCTGGCTAGGGGGGCAATGGAGGGGCCCTTGCTGTAGGTCTGCTGCTGCTGCTGCTACAGCTGCTGCTACAGCTGTCCTCGCTGCTGCACAACTACTCCCGTGATGATGATGATGATGATGTGGCAGCAGCCCCTCCTGTCCGTCATCGGCACATCGCTACCCGCGGACGAACAGGAGGACGGCCCCCCTCCCCCGTCCCCGCCCGCCTCCCCTGACCTCCTCCCTGCCCCCCCCTCCCGCAGACGCCGCCGCCCACCTCCTCCGTATCCTCACACACCACCCGGAGAAGGCCGCAGCCGCCAATGCCGCACTCGTACTGGGGGCACTGGCGGCGGGACCGCACCCGCACAAGACGACGCTCGTTGCCGCAGGAGTTGTAGACGGACTCCTGCAGGCCGCGCGAGGTCGTACGGCAGCGGCGGAGGCTGCCGGAGGTGACGCACCTGTCGTCACCGCCAACGCATGCAGCGCACTCGGTAATCTTTCCATCGGCCACGCTGCCGGCGCCGCCGCCATCGCCGCTTCCCCCGGAGGTATTGACACGTTGATTAGCCTGCTAGCCGTCAGCAACGCGCCCAACGTTCGTACAAACGCCGCGGGCGTGCTCGTACAGCTGATGGGCGCGCATGAGTCGTACCGTGCGGCGGTGGTCGCGGCTGGGGGCGTTCCGGCGCTTGCTGCGGGTATGCTTCGCGGTCCGGACGCGGCGGCGTGTAACTCGGTGACTGCGCTGTACAACCTGGCCGCCCTGACCCCCCCCAGTGTGCGGCCCGCCATGTCGGAGGCGGGTGGGAGCCTGGCGGTGAGGGGGGAGGGAAGGGCGGGTAGAGGGGAGGGAGGAGGGCAGAGGGGGAAGGGTAGACTCTTCTCCCCTGCAGCCGTTGTTTGCAGTAGGACGTTATTGGCGCCCCCTGACGGAGGGAAGGGAAGGGAAGGGGAGGGGATCGGGATTGGGACTCCCCCCCTTCATCCGCCCAGCCCCCGCCCACCCGCCCCACTAACACCCGTGCAACCCCAACCGCCCCTCTACCATCTCCCGTGGTTCGTCTCCCCCTTCCCCCCCCGCATGTCACGCCAGGTGGTGCCCCAGCTGCTGCTGTGTATGGCGGGACGTAACATCCGCGGTGAAGCCGACGAGTCGGTCGCCGCCTCGACCAGCGCAAGAGTCAACGCATCTGCCGTACTTTTAGAGCTCTGCAAAGACCCGGCGGCAGCGCCGCTGCTGGCGGACGCCGCGCTTGCGGTGCCCGCGGCTCTGGCGGCGCTGACCGCCGGCCGGCTGCCTCCGCTGCCGCCCTTACCTTCCGCCTCCCCGGCTCCTCCCCCTACCCCGCCGTCCTCTGACCTCCTCTCCGGCGGTGTGGACCTGCTGTACCCGGTCCCCCCCGTGGTCCGCGGCAACTGCCTGCTGTGCATGATGGCGCTGGCGCGGATGGGCTCCACCATGCAGCTGGAGCTGGGCCGGTGCGGGGCGGTGGGGACGCTGCTGGAGCTGCTGGAGTCTGGGCAGGACCCGGCCATGCAGGTGATTGAGAGCGGGTAGAGGGGGAAGGGTGGGGAAGCGGTTTGTATGCGTGTGAGCTTGTATGTATGTATGCATGTATGTACGTATGTATGTATGTATGTATGTATAGTAGGGATAGGAGATGCAGTACCTGCTCACCCGACCTACCTGACCCGGGCGGGGAGTGGAAGGGGGAGTGGGGAGGGGGTGGGGGACGATACCCTTGGCTTATCTTGGCGGTCTTTCCGTGTGAAGTGAAGTACGGATTGGATTGCTGGCTCATTGGGTTGTATAGCTTGGTAAACATCCCCCTCCTTTGCCCGTACCATGGTTCGGTTGCAAGTCCCTCCTTGCCCGGGTTTTCCCGCCTGATCTTTGGTTGGTTGTTGGTTGTTGGTTGCTCGGTTGTGTTCAGATCAACTCCGCCAACGCGCTTTGTTCTCTAGCGGCCGCGAATTCGGACATCCATTCGGCGCTGGTGGCCTCACGCTGTGTGCCGCTGCTGGCGGGGCTCTTGATTCGGGGAGGTGGGTGTGAGGATGAAGATCTAGGGGGATGGGGGGACGGGGGGAAGGGGAGAGGAAAAAGGGAGGGGGCGGGGGGACTGTTTAACTGTTTCGGTTGGACTGTGAGTGCAGGGAAGAATGGGAGTGGTATGGTTGGTTGGTTGGTTGAAACGCACGGCACACGGTTGGTGATCCCACTATGTACGGTAATGCGGGTTTTTTTCAGACTGCGCCTCGCCTGTGTATGGTGTATCCTCACACCGGGTCATATTGGACAAACGTACGGCATGTCGTACGCACCAGGTGATGCGGCTCGAGCCAATGTTGCGGCCGTACTGGTGACCATGATGAAGGACGAGGAGGCCAGGAGCCAAATACAGGTGCGCAACCGCCTGTCACCGCCCAACACCGCCCTCCAGTTCTGCACTTCACCACTTCGGTTTCCTTTGCTTTTCTGCTTTCATTAGGACTTTTCCTTTTATCTTGGCGGCTAGGTAGTTTTTCCGCTTTTCCGCTGCCTTTTTTGTCTCAATCCCCAACCCTCATCCCTCCGACTCGTTCACTCGCTCACGGCAGTTGTGGTGGTTGTGCACAGGAGTGCGGTGCACTTTCGTCCTTGGTACGACTGGTGTGCATGCTCTTGGACGAGCGATCTGCGTCAGGTACGTGAGTGATGATTGGTTGGCAGTTTGACGGGCTCCGGGTTGTTACCGTACGAGTGGTGAAGCCTAGGAAGTGTAGGGGAAGGGTCCAGCGCTTCCTCTCCCTCCCAACTCCCTCCCTAAGCCCCGCGCCGGAAACTCACACATCACGCACTGCCCACTGCGCGCCCTTGAGGGGGTTGCGGCCGCAACCCCCTGTGACCTCCTTCCGCATGTGGGCATATGTGAACATATATGCGTGCAGGAGGCGGCTCCCCCCCTTCCCCCTCCCCCTCCCCTTCCCCCGACCCGGGTGGTGTGCTGTGTAACACGGTGGGGGCGCTGGCTGAGGCGGCCAAGTACCCCGAGCTACGGAGGAGCCTGATGCAGGTGGAGGGGGGGGGAGCGGGAGGGGGGAAGAGGAGGCGAGTGTGTTTGTGGGTATGGTCGTATGTGTGTATGGGGTTAGGTATGTGTTACCTCTGTTCGCGCGTATGTAGGTCTGTATGGTGGTTCCCAACAGGGTAGCAGTACAGGGTGTGTGTGAGGGCGCAACGCAGAAGCGCTCAGCAGTGGGAGGTTCCGGTAGGTGGTGACTCCTGATGGACCTTTCCCCCCTCTCCCCACATGTGTCGCCATGTTCGGACGGATGTACGGATGTACGGATGCGGCCCCAGGTGGAGTTTGGAGAGAGTCTGGGTGCGCTGCTCAGATGTCTCAAGGAGGCTCCGGAACCAGCCCAGGTGGGTTAGAGCAGTCCAGGGCCCCGGGGATGCGGGCCTCTCCGCTCGTGTGAACCCCACCTGGAGCACGAGGGCGGGTAGCGGGCACACGGGAGGAGGGAAGGAAGGGGGCTCGTTGTGGACACTAAGCTCCTCCTGCCACCATGTGCGGCAGGTCCGCCTCCATCCCCCTTCTTAAACCCCAACCGCCAACCGGTGAGCTCCGTCTTGGTCGCATTCGGTTAGGGCAGGTTGCACACACACTCCCCTTCCCCTCCGCCGCTAACTGGCCACAGGTGAATGCCGCTGCAGCTTTGTGTCACTTATGTCGGGAGCAGTCCGCTGCCGTACAACTGGGCCGCCTCCGGGGGGTGGAGCTTCTCAAGGTGCGGGAGTGGTGGTGGTGGGTTGGGGAGTATGGAGGGATATCGCCCAGGACGGGTAAAGGGCTTTGCGGGTCTCGGATTGTGATGCGGAGGTTCCGGTAGGTGGTGGCTCCTGATGGCGTGGCCTCTACTTCTCCGCCCTCCGCCTCCTGCAGCTCGTGACACGCCAACATCCGGGCCCCCGGGCCAGATATCCCCACCCAGTGCCCAGTGCCCACATGTCCGTGAGACGTGCTGAGGGGCGTCTGCACGGACGTTCGGTGCAGATGTTGGTATACGCTCGAGGGTACGGATGTCCGGATGCCTGCTTGCCTAGTCGTACTACGGCAGGCGTCATATTCCTAACCCCACGTCGGCGGACTCCGTCCCCCTATCCCCTATCCCATGCTGCTGCTGGTGCTGCAAGTCCTCCTCATCTTCGGAGCTCCGCCCGGTCACATGTACTGCTTTCACCAACCCCCCTCACACACCCGCCCCTCCCTTGCCTCACTCCCCGGTTCAGGAGGCGGTGGGGGCCAGGCCTGACGACTGGGGGGGTGGATCTCCGGGGCCAGGGTCGGGCTGTAGTCCCACCTCCTGGACCCGACCCTCATCCCGGCTCAGACATAACGCTAGCAGGTGGGCGAGCGCGTGCTTGTGGACGATATGTACGGGTTGTGGGAGTGGGGGTTTCGAAACATGTCTCGGGTGCTACACCGGGTCCCCCCCCCCGGCGGGTTGTGGGGAGTCTCCCGGCTCGTGGTTCCCAACCGCCGAGTTACGCCGCCACTAGGGTGTACACGTATGTGTGGGTATGTATGTGGGTATGTATGTGGGTATGTATGTGGGTATGTATGTGGGTATGTATGTGGGTATGGATTCAGCATTAGCTCCTCCCTAAATCTCCTCTCTAAACCCCCTATAACCTCCTTTCGCCCCCCACCCTATGCCACCCCAATGAAGGGCGCTCGCACGACTGCAAGAGCAACTCACAGCGATGGACGAGCAAGTGCAGGCCGCAGCAGTAGCAAGGGCTGCGGGGAGGGCGTCAGCGACGGGAACGGCTGCTGCTGCAGCGGGGGATATTGAAGTGGACGAGGCACCGTATGCTCTTCGCGGTCTCAGCCATGATGTCCTGGGCGGCGGCAGCATGGCGGCGGCGGGGGGACCGGATCGTCGCTCTGATCCTCCGAGGGCCGCCTGGGGGCTGGTGGACGCGGAGGCGCTGGCGGCGGAGGTGGAGGACGAGGCGGCGGCAATACCGCGTTCAGCACTTTCCCGTACATTTGAGTCCGTACGATCGTACAAGTCCTATAAGGACGACGACTCGGACAGCTTGAGTGTGGTGATCACACCGCCGCTGCCGCTAGCCGCATACTAGGATTGGTTGTAAGGTGTTCTTAGGGGCCAGCGCTGTAAAGGCACATGTCCTCATCACTGTTAGATTGCCACAGAGCAAAGCTGTTACACTTCATCCCACAGCCTTTACGAGTTGATGCGGGTTGGCAGATGCATTAGGAACTGATAGACGAGGCGACATTGTAGCGCACCGTGTGTACCGGGCCCCTGGAAAGTGGCGCAGCAGGACAGCGGTACGGCAGGACAGCCGCCAGCTATGTAGGTGGCCGGTTTGGGTTCAATCCGGGCGTGGTACGACGGGGTAGGTACGGTGTTCGTAGAGAGTTAGGCTCCAGGGTTGTGCTGGGATGAGGCTTGTTAGAGGGTAGAGGGTGAGGGGAGAACTCAGCGCAGTGCCGCGCCGTGGCATAAGAAGGCCTTATGTGTGATGCAGTACCTCCTCGGCGTTCATATGTATGCGCATGTGTATGGATACTTTTGGGACACGGATGTGTGTACGTGTGAGTGTATTGTATGTATGTACGTGTCTTCGTGTGCAGATGTGGAAGGCGCTTTTTGCAGGTTCGGGCGTATGCATTTAAAAGCCGCGCAGGAGGTGTCATGTACGAAACACGCACGTAATTCAGTTTTTACCGTACTGCCATGTACGTGTAAACATTAAATTGGCAATTTGCGCGCCGGATGACGGCTTTCGTCACGAATGGCTTATGGCATCGCGGAACAATGACAGCCTGTCTTCTTGCTTGGATGTCGGCAGGAAGCAGCAGCATCCAACCGGTATGCCGCGCGTCCACAAGTCCGCAAGTCACTCCACCAAACCCCGTATGTAACTTCCACCTGCAAAGTAGCACCCAGCGGTGACCACCTGCCACTCCACCAGCTGTTGCCTGTCCAAGTGCATATTATGTACCACCACACCGTTGGCCAGCAGTCAGCCTACTTCTACGTGTAGCCAAAACACACACACCGGGACCCGCCGGGGCAATCCCTCCCGCTATCGTCGCAGGCAGACACACCGCATTATCGTCCGCTGGTGTCGTGATGGCTGAGGTCCCCTCCCCCCCAGCAGCTACACCGCCTTGGGCCAGGGCTCCCGCAGCTCCCCCACGTCCCCGCCGGCCACCACATCCGGCAGCTTGGCTCGCAGCAGGGACTCCAGCTCCTGAGTAGGGTGATGATGTCCACATGAAGGGAACATGGGAGCCGGGGGCCGGGGCTGAGTGGGGGGGCTGAGGGAGGGAAAGACGAACCACAAACGAGTGAAGCTGCTGCCAGGGGGGGGGCTGAAAGGGGACAGGGGCGAGCTGCACACGCGCCGCGAGTGGACCCGTACATGAAGAACGCAGTGTGCGCTTCAGATGGAGCGGATAGTGAGTCTACCCGCCCGTGAACGGCAGGTCGACATTTGAGGTACCAGTTTTCATGTTCATATCCCAATGGGGGACCGAGCCGCAGAAAGCGGTGCGCATCCACGCAAATACACACTCACACAGAGGTGCGCAGCGGACCTGGTTGCTCGTGCGCTATCCGTCCGGGGTTTAGGGAAGGAAGGCGTCCAGGACGGTTCATGCGCCGTGCCATCATTGGAGTTCTGGATGCAAGCACGGGTCACTGTCGCAAGCTCCACACGGTCTCTAATGCTGTCTTCACTCACCGAACTGAACCGCACCGTTCTGGCCGGCGGAGGACAACCGAGAGTGCATCCGCATGCGCACCAGAGAGTATACCTACCGACGTGTGTCGCCCCCTGTCCGCCACCAGCGAGAGGTGGAGGAGGGCAACCGGCGTCCTGCCTCAGCGGCGAGCGCAGCTGCCCCCTAGACCCCCTGTAAGGCCCCTAGGAAACCCCTCCGACCGCCGGCCCTTCCCCCTTTCGCGCTGGTGGGGCTCGGGGCCACCGACGACGTACCACAGTGTTGACCGTCAGCCCCGCACGGGCGTGCACCATCAGGCACTCCCGGGCGCTGCACTCCTCGGGGGTCCAGGAGTGGTACCTGAAGGTGGCGGTTGGGGCGGTTAGGACGTTAGGCGGTTGGGAGAGGAGGGAGTGGGGAACAGCTGTATAGACAGCTAACCCTAAAACCCTATATTGAGATGTGGATAGGCAGCGAGGGAGCGGGGGAGCACGAGGGCGACAGGCAAGGACATCATCATCGATGGGAAAGGCTCATCAAGGGTACCTCCAAACCCCCATCAGTCCTTACAGAGTCCTGCGCAACTGGGTGCGCAGTACTGTCAGGCGCAGAGACACGTGTGCCGTGACATGATGACGACGAGCGACCGGGACCGCGGGAGTCAGGTCTGACTCGGGGCTGCGGGAGCTCCCAAGACACCACATAACCGACCGGAGCTGGACACCTCGCGACGTAACGCACCGCGTGTAGTTCTCGTGGTCGTAGTGCACGAGGCGGTGGTCGGTGGCCCGCCAGGCAAAGTGGTGCAGGTCGCCAGCGCTCTGAGTCATGTTGTAGTACAGCTTGGAGAGGCCCAGCCATTCCCACTTGTACGGCAGCAGCTCGACGACGGCAGAACCTGCAGCAAGCCGCCGGATGAGGGATGAGGCTTACATGGCGAGGTAGAGGATGTTAATCCTTCATCATATGCGTCTGTGTGGGTGTAGGTCCAACTAATGCGGCTGGGAACCTCGACATGAAGCAGCACGGTTTGCTGTGCACTCCGCCCCAATCTGTGCCTCTCTTGGGTGTGCTCGACGCTTCCTCTAAACCCCCGGCTCCCGTACAACCACCTCGCCAGTGGCCCCGGTACACCTCCAACCACCTCAATCCACAACCACCTCAACCCGGAAGCGGTTTTCTTCGGCCTTACCTCTTTCACCTCTCCATCTCCCCACCCCCCTACAGCGCCCCCCACTGCCCCCCGTCTCCCCCACCTGGCGCCATGAGTGTTGCAGTGGCCAGCAGGGGCCCATGTCGCGCCACCAGCACCGAGCTGCGTGCGAACGTGTCCAGGTGCGAGACGAAGGGCGCATCCGTGGACAGGGTGACGGTGCGCACCTCCAGGCCGGTGGCCGTCCCCACCCGCCGCAAGACCTCCTGGACCTCCTGCCAGTTGACCACCTGGGGCTCAGGGGCAGGGGGGGGCAAGAGGGGGCAGTCCCACACCGACCTGGACGAGATCCGAACGGCCCACTCAGTTCGCGAACACCCCCGGGACATGGAGAGCTCCCCCTCCCCTCTCCCCCCTCACCGGGGGATAGTCCTCATGCGGCAGCAGCAGCGTCATGACCCGGGGTGAGCCGGGCAGGGGAGGGGGCGGAGGGGAGCCGGGGACCCAGCTGGAGGCAGGAGGGTCCAGGCCAGCTCGCTTGTAGGCGGCAGCCCTGTGACCACGCAGGGGGGGGGGGAAGACGAACCACAAACGAGTGAAGCTGCTGCCAGGGCAAGAGTGCACCAGACGTAGAACTGACCGAAAGGCGTCCGTGAAGACGGCGACCTCGGGATGACGTAGTGAAGCTGATGTCGGAAAAACTACCTACCTAAGCCGCCAGGGCTAAAAAAGCAGGAAAAGCAGTAATGCCAAACCGTAAAAGAAGGATGGGGGGGGGGAGAAGATACGAATATGGCAAGAGACAGGGATGGCGTAATAGCGGTCTAGGACGTCAAGATGTAAGCAGGCATGTTGGGTGAGGAGACATCTGGGCCCGTGTCAGGTGGGGGACCGGAGGGGCGGTGGCGGTGCGGTGCGTAGGAGCACGTATGGGTTGCTTGTCCAACCTGTGTGTTCACGTGGCGTGTGCATGCATATACAGCCCCCAAACGCCTCCCAAACGTCTCCCACCGCACACCCCCCACATACCCCCCAGATGCCCTCCTTCAGCCCATCTACCAGCGCGGCTACAGTACCCCCTCCCCCGCCCTCGTCCCTCCAATCCACACTGAGAGGGGCCCCACATGCGCATGCAACGACTTACACCAAAGACGCAGTACGTGTGTTTAGCCCGGGCATGTCTCCGCCGCTCAAGCCGACCCCCTAGCTCACCTGAAAGCCGCCGCGTAGCTGGCGTTACTGAACCCCACATCCAGCTCCCGGTTGACGTAACGCCCGCAGCCGTCGTACCGCCACAGGTCGCCGTGGTCCGCACCGATGAAGCCGGTCTTGCGCTCCGGGTGGGTGTACCTTTAGGCGAGGGAGGGAGGGAGGGGAGGAGGGAGAAGGGGCGGGAAGGGGGAGAAAGAGCCAAGACTCACGGTAGGTAAAGAGCCCTCCTGATGTGGCCTTCCCCGTCCAAAAGGCGCCGGAATGCCCCCACATTGCCCCCTGCTCGCAGGTCTAGTTCCGATCGCCCGTCTAATGTTCGCTCGCTCGCTTGGGCAGCGGTTAACGGGTCCCTGGGCGATCACCCCACCGTATGGGACAAGGACTAGGACTAGGAGGGTTCTCAAGGAGAAGCTGCGTGGGGCGGCAATGCTCCAGGGGCTACCCCATGCCATGTTCAAATACCTTTGGCCACCAGCCCCCGGCTCGCTTACAGCCCCCCCAACACCTGGTCACCACGACCCTTCCCTGCCGCCAACCCACATCCACACACCTGTCCTGCACCACCAGCAGGTTCTCAATGGCCAGCCAGGACAGCTTGGGGAAGGCCTGTGCGGGTGGGGACCCGGTCACGAAGGAGAGGGCAGGGACGATAATGCTGTCAGTAAATGTACGAATGAATGAGTGGGTTAGCTGCTGGTACATACGCAGGTGCGAGCCAAATGGTGATGGTGGGGAGTAGCGGCTGCGCTGTGATGGGTTGGTTGGCGGAGGAGGAGGTACACCCGGTGCACGTCTGGAAGAGGCGGAATGAGAAAGACCGTCGGGCAGTCGGGCAGTCGGGCCGGGAGGAAATATGGGTGGAGGGATAACACATAGGCGGGTGCGGACATGTTGCCATTTGGGACTGCAGCCCCCGCTGTGACACCGCCTCTCACCTCCAGGTCCGCATGGTCAATGATGGGCGGTACCGGGGCGCCTCCCTTCCGCACTCCAGGCGCCACTGCAATGGCCAGGATTTCCTTGAACCAGTCGTTCATTTCCTGCAGGAAAAGAAGAGGAGGAAGAAAATCAAAAAGCCAGGAGAAAGACACCGCGGAACAAACAACAATAAACCCATTTGAGGATACAAAAAGCGCCGCACGCAACAGGTAGCCTAGTTCCCCCAGACCACACATGCCACACACGCAACGTACTCACATACGCGTTCGCACCCGCATGCGTGTGCGTCCACCAATCGCCACGTCAGTGCAGCTACCCAGGAAACACGTAACCGAAACAGAAACGTGACGGGACCCTAAGGACAGAAACGGCTGTTCCCCCTTCGATGCATTCCTGTCGGCATTAAGACCACCAGCCGTCCCCACCAACCGTCCCCGCCAACACCCAACCACCAGCACCACCATCACCCGCCACAGGTAGGGTTGACGCCGTCTGAACTCATAATCGGGTTGGCACCTCTCCCTTCGCAAGCTGGCACGAGCCCCAACATGAGCTCACAGCACTGATAGCCGCAAGGGTGTAAGGACCCCGAGTTAACCCACACCACCAAAGAGGCGCCCCCTACCGGAGGGCCTAACACAACGCCATCAGCTTCCACATACGAGCTGTAACAGGCAGGACATCAGATTACTGAACTGCCATCTGTGCATGTGTTACGTTCCCTCACCCTGAATCCCGTTGTAACTCCCCAACCTCAACATCTTCGCAACAGGGTCCCCACTCGCCGTCGCTACTAGTCGGGTTCTCACAGCCGCACACTCGCCTCCCGCCGTGCCCGCCTGCCCTCTCTCTCTCTCTCTCTCTCTCTCTCTCTCTCTCTCTCTCTCTCCCGCCCACCTTTCGCAGATTGGGTAACAGGATGCGGTCCACATAGCCCCCCCGGGTGCCGACGGAGTTACTCCGCCATGCTCCGTCCATAAGTACCGAGTAGGTGGTCAGCATGATCTCCGCCCAGTGGCCCAGGTTGTCGGGGAAGGCGGGGAAGGGGAAGTCTACCAGCAGGGTGGTGCCCGGCAGGAAGCCGGTGCGCATGTTGTCGGTGAAGGAACTGATGTTGCTGACAGGCAGGTTGATCAGCGCGCAGTTAACGGAGAGGCCCTCCTCGAGCTGGCTGCTAGGAGGGTGGCTAGCAACGGAACTGGTGGTGGTGGTAGCATCCGTGGAGGACGTGGAAAGGGGAGTGTCGGAAGTGCCAGGCTGGTCGCCGTCACGAAACATGGCATCTGGCGGCACCAGCGCATACCATTTGTGTGCGTGCCAGAAGGCATTGTGGTAAACCTTGTGTGAATCCTCGGTCCGAGTCATGGTGGTGAAGAGTGGCTCGCCGTTGCGAGCGTAGGTCCCCACGCTGCACCAGTTCGGCAACGAAATACTCCCTCGATTGACTGGGGTACGTTGCGCGGGTGGGGCCCCTGCCTGTGCCCGTGCGGTGGTTGAGGGAACAGCTTTGGCACCGCCCTCAGCCGGCCGCTGGGGCATTGCTTGCTGTTTCGGTAAGCCGTTTCCATTAGCGGAAGGGAAACCGTGTAACCACCCGATGGAGATCAACGCAACTAGTAACACAAAAGATTTCCAGTGACTTCGTGACTCCATATTCAGTGGTAGTGATTTCTCTGGTTCCACGGGATTGCTGTAAGCGCAGTCGGGCTGTTAGCTCCGCAAAAACTTGCCGGCTACGGATGATCGGCCACTTATGGAACCGCCTCCGGACAAATTAGCTTCCAGCGGCACACAAGATTCTCAGGTGCCGATGCCTAATGTCCATCTCCATATTCAGGAAAGTACCACGTCCTCCTTCTATACTTCCTAGTCAGATACAGCTCAAAAAAACATTACGTATCGTGCATAAAGAATATTTCGATCATGCGTAATAAGAAACAATACTGTATCATTCAAAGAACCAGATACCTAGATTACGAGCTATACGGCTTCCCGTGAGCGCGGACTTCGGGAGCAGTCATACTGACTATACAAAATTGCGATTAGAGACAGAAAATGCGTATGGCATGATGCTTATTAAAAACTTCGCTTAGGATCCGCTCATAAATATTATCTTGGCAACCCTAGCTGGGCAGGCGCTCGATACAATATCCCCGCCCTGGCCTGGCATCCTTGCTGTCCCACAAGTCGTAAATCTGCAACGAGCTATGGATACTGCTATGCAACGTGCAAAGGCGACCACCGGAAGTCGCTGTCGGCAGTCGGCTGGTCTCGGACTGCTGCACCACACTTCGGTGCATCGCAACTGCATAGCAAATGCTAGACGGGACAGAGGCCGTGATGAGTCTTCTCGCAGCACAGGCCATGGATATGGCGCACCGTCAAGTGCTTGGCTGTTGCCGACAAGCCTAGTGTCGGAACGACGCACAAAGGTTAGCGACTTTGCATTTTGTTTGCGCTTATGATTTCGATTTAAGGAGTAACTTGCAGAAATTCGCGTAATAGGCGCGGGCCTGGCATGCGGGCCGAGACACCTGCCAAGTCCCCGTGTGATGTCGCCTCTCTGCAGGACGATTCACTATCGGAACCCGACACGCCTCTGACGGTGTACACCATCCGCTTCACAACCGGAGTATCAAGAGGCTCAGCGCTCTCGGAGCCCTACTCGGCGGTCAACGTCTGCTTAATCAGTCAGAATGGCAGGGCGGCGCTGCACCGCATCAGCCCCGTCAACGACCCGCTTGAGTCTCGCGCACATACACTCGAGATGTGCCAGGTACGCATGGTCAACGCTGGAATCCCTTAAGAGACGTCGTTAACTGCGGTTAGAACAGGTTTGGCAAAGTTCTGCGCAGTGCAACCATATTTCTAGGTGGGGAGCACGTGCGCAATCGCTCGCTTGCGGAGCTCCTCTACATACTGCTGGCCCGACATCCTGCCTTTGCCCTGCCCTTCCCCATCCTGAGCCCCCTCACTTGCCCCCGCAGCTGATTGGACCCGACGTGGGCGCGGACTGTAGCTCGGCACTGGCGGATGCGGCAGCTAGCAGCGGCAACCAGCAGCCCGGAGGACAACAAGAGCAACAACGACCCGGTCGGCCGGCAGCACCTGCCGGGAGCGCTGGTGGGTCTGCATCGTCGCACGGGTACGGAAACGTCAACCTGAGAAGCAGTGGTGGCACTAACCTCGTTGGTCGACCCCCGCCACCGCCCCCACCCAAGCGCCGCTTCCAGGAGGGCTCCGTTGACGAGGTGCGCCCCCCCCTAGAAGGGGGGTGTTGGGCCGGGGGGATGACGAGCAGGCGGGTAGGCTTAAGAGGTACGCCAGGGACATGTTGTGAGGTGTTACGTTCCTCTTGTCCCAGATGGTCCGGATGAGGTGACAGACAGGGCCGGAGCGGGGCTGGCCGCTAGCTGCCTGCTGCCTCCCATCGGTACCACCGCCGCCACCGCGACCGCCACCGCCACCCGGAAGTGTCGACCCACTTCCCGCAGGCCCCCACTGGCCCCCGGCTCCAGGCGCCCACATCCCCACCGCATCGCCCTTCACCCGTCCACTGCGGCCATCTCCCTCCCCTCCCCTCCTCTCTTCCAGGTCAGCATCTTGCTTCCCGAGCTGGGTCCCCTTGCTGGCGTGTTGGTGGGTGTGGAGGGCGGCACCTGGTACCTGGACGAAATGGATGTGTCGTCCTCCCGGACACACCACATGGACAGGTGCGGGGCAGGGGGGTGGGGTCGCCAAGGGGGTGTGAAAGGGAGCTCCAAATTGAGGCAGCTGGTCTGGTTAAGAGGTGTTGATGGTCAGGTCGTGAGGCCGCCTCCCTTTGCTTCCACCCCCCCTCTCTGCAGGTTCGTGTGCCGGCGGCAGTTGGGCGGTCGGGCCGGTGAGGGGGCCGCCCTCCTGACACCTGTGCCCGTGGGAGCGGTGGTGTACGGAGAAGGGGAGGCCGCGGTCGTCCTGTCCAAGGTAGGTGGGCGGGAGGTGTCTGCAGAGGGGGTATAACAGGGGGGGTATCGTTGACTTCTGGTAGGGGGTTAAACTAGGTGGGGAGGGAGGGAGGGGGGGTGTACGTAGGGAGGGAGGACACAGGTAGCGCAATGGGGGCAATCCAGCTGTTCATGACAGCTCAGCTTTGCCCACCTCAGTCCAGCTTCATGCCGAGGGCTGGCTGTCGTTGCGTGCAAATGTTGGCCATTCTGTCCGTATGTATGTATATATGTATGTAAGGCCGTACATGTTTCTGTACGTCTGTAGGAGCAAGCCACGGCGCTTTGGTCGCTCAACATGTCGGACTACACCGACCTGAAGCGCCGAGTGGCGACAACCACCGCCTTGTTGGTTGCCAGCGGAGCAAGCCTGGCAGCTCTGACGGGCGGTACGGCAGCAGCCTTGCCGTACACTGCTGGCGGAGTCGTAGGTACGGCAAGGCACCTCGATAAGTGCGAAGGTTGTACTGCTGTCAGGGGGTCGTGCTGACCCCCTCTCTGTGTTGCAGCCGCCCTACTGTGGCCGCTGTGCTGCTCACCTTCACCTCATCACACCTTCGCCGCACTCCGCGGCGATCTCCCAAAACTGGTATTACCTGAAGCCGCTTAGCCCGCCGGTGGCCATGTCGGCAGTATTTACCGTAAGAACAGCAGCAGGCCCTGCCGTACCTCCCCCCCTGGGGAAACATGTTTGTTGGGTCAACAGCAGTTTGAGAGAGCGCTCCACGCGCGGTACGACATGTCCAGCAAACCTCCGCACAGGTGTCCTTGTGGACGCCACCTCATTGGGTTTCTCCGCAGTTCTCCGGATACACGCCACTTGGATACACCCCCCCTCCCTCCCCCTTCCTCTCTCTCACTGGCTTTCCCCTCAGGCCTGGTGTACCAGTGGCTGCTAATGCGGGGAGTGGATCACGTGATGGAGGTCGCCGCCGGCACGGGACAACACACCACCACCGCCAACACCAACAACCAGCGGCAGCAGCAGCAGCAGGATGAGGCGCTGGGCGGTGGGGGCAGCACGGGTGCAGGTAGGGTGTCGGTCAGCAGCCCAGCAGCAGCAGCAGCAGCCGCAGCGGGGACCTCCACTGCCGCCGCTGCAGGTGCCTACCTCAGCAGCAGCAGCAGGCGGGCTCTGGGCAGCGGCCCGGTGCGACTTGGCTTTGTGTGCGCCTCCGCGGCGCTGGGGATGGCGCTGCTGTCCAGGGAGGAAGCCGGTGAGCCTAGGGAGGGGGGCCTGGAGGGGAAGGCGTATGGATGGAGGGATGGATCCACGGCGGAACATGGCGATGGGGAGGGCGGCAGGGACGCGGTCACCAGCAGTAGGTTGGCATGGCCCCGGATATCGCTGTATCGGTATCTTCATGCGTGAAACCATCTTCATGCAGTAGGACGTCTTCATTGCGCCCTCGTGTGTGTGCTTGGGTGTGCTGCGAGGACGGCTGTAACACATCTTTTCTGTTAAAGCACTCAGCGCACTACCTGAAGCGGCTATTTTACCTGTCTCCCCCTTGGCCTGTCCCCCTTTTGTTCCCCCCTCCCTCACCTCCTCGCACACACCCAGGTGTGCTGGGGGCGCCTGTTAGCTCCGGCTCTGTTGCGGTCTGGCAGCTTGCCCTGGGGGCCCTGGGCTTCCTCACCTACAAGGCGGCGCTGGTGGGCGTGTCGCTGGGGGAGGCGGGGGCCTCTGCGGGGGCCCGCCTTGGACTGGGCGGTAAGGTGCTGTACAGCAGTGGAGGCGCCCGGGGGGCCAGCAGGACCGAGCTGGAGAAGTACAAGCGCGACTGAGCTGGCTGTGCCGCGGAGTAGAGGAGGGAGAGGTTGCGGAGTGGCAGGCGGGGCGGTGTGGGGTGCTGTTCGGTGAGGTGGAGCGGGAAGTGGGTCCTAATGAAGCAGATGAGTTTGATGAATGGAGCTCGTGAAGGGCCTAGAGGTGGCCATGACGGCAACGTGCTTGTTATGTGACTGGCCAGGTGGCCTGGTGGGCTGCTGGGTGGCGGGAGGGAGGTCGGATGTAGTCTAGCTGCCAGGCGGGGCCAACAGTTCTCTTAAGGAGGGGGACAGGGTGGTTGTTTGGGACTTGAAAGCAGCATCCGCGCAGTGTGCGGAGAGGGGTGTTGGGGGGCCTTATAGGGGGCATGTTGGCATCGATTGGTGGTTTGAAATATCCCGTTTGTTGTGTGGTGTGGTCCCTCAGGGCGGGTGGCTGTGGTGGCGTGTAAGCTGCGGGAGAAGAGGGAAGGGGGTGTTTGCAAATAGCGGGATAGGGTCTGTAGCTGCGTGTTTGGCCGCCAATGCAGGAGTTCTCGCCCTGTGAACTTGCTTGCTTGCTGGCTTCCTTGCTTGCTCAGCTAGGGAGTTCGCATCCGTCGCTGACACAGGGAGCATAGAACGTGTTCGAAAGCGATCTTGTGCAGCACAGCACACCCCGGTGGTGCGATGCCCGACCACCCGGGGGCCGGGGTACGGCAGTATGCAGCCGGGACGATGCAACCTTTGTACGTCGCGTGTTATTCGTGAGTTGGCTATGTGGCGGTATGTCCGGAGTATCATGTGCAGTAGGACAGTCGTCAGGGGTTTTCCGCGTCCTTCCTGGGGGAAGGTGGGGAAGGTGGCCTGTGGCACACAGCACCGGAACAGGAAAGGAACTCGCGGTAGAGGGCGGTGGGCTGGCAGTGCATCTGTGTCAAGATTCGGAGGCGCTCTGCCTTCGCGGCCCCTCTCACTTCTGTACGACGTGATGAGGCATACATTCGTATCTCGTATGTGTTGTTGCTGTTGTCGTTGCTACGGTTATTCGGCAGGCCCCTGGAATGGTAGTGGAGATGGGAGGTGCAGCTCAGTGCTGTTGAGGGTTGAGCTTATTCATTTGGAGATGAAGCATGGGGCCATGATAACGGCGGTGAAGGTCGCAACGGCAACGGCGGTGCCGACAGCCGACGTGGAATAACTCCCGTGGGCAAATAGCAAATATGTATGATGGGATGGACACGTGCAGTAAATTGCGTTTGGGATGAAATGTCTCGCGGGTATTATTCAATCATAAGAACTTTCCAGAAGAAAGGCTTCAAGAACGGAACAAGCCTCATGTACAGATGAGGGACAGGGCGATGTATACTGTACGGCCTTCCTTGCCCTATTGCCTCCTGCACCTGATGTACTCCTGGCCCTTCCGTGCAATGCTCAGTAATGTCGTACCAGAACCCGCCAACGACCATCCAACACCGCGACGCAAGCAAAACTCCAGTACAAAAATTCAAAGCAGCTTGCCAAGAAATATTTGCCTTATGCAAGCGCTGAAATTCATTCGCTCTCGTAAGTTATCGCTCCACATACGTGGATTACAATCTACTCAAAACCACCCCCTCGGTATCTCCATGTCCTGATCGGGGGGGTGGGCTCCATCGGAACATTGTCATACTTATGTGCCTAAAGACGGTTCGTCTGGGCCTACAAATGTGAAAAAATAAATGGTTCTTAGGCTAAGACTTGCAATGGCTATGACGATACATGAAACTTATTACACGAATACTGGCCCCACACAAATCAATCTCGGAGCCCTAGGGGCCCTAAATGGCCCCGCTGTCCAACAGCGCGCGCCATGAACTATACAACTCCGCCTGCAGTTCCGCCATCCCCACGTAGAGTCGTTCTCTACGGAGGGAGCGGTTGTCGGGGAAATGGGGACAGCATCGGGGTAGGCAGGACGAAACAAAAACATAAACACATGCATTCATGCAGATGACAAGCATGGTGACTTGACCTCCGCAACACCTGCAGTATTTCCCCTTGGCCGCAATGCCACATTTTCCCGTCACAACACGTTTGCAATGTTCCCTCAACGACCAACACGTGCGGTCTGGCACGTTGGGACCGGAGCCACATCTTAGAATTGCGTCAGGTGTCAGAGGGGTCGCCGTCACACTGTCAGTCACGTCCCCTGTTCACCCCACATCCCGGGGGCCTAACGAACCGGGACTGCTCCAGACCCGGGACCCCCTCGATTTACCTGTGTCCCAATAGCCGGGCATCGGGCGCTGCCTGCTGATGTGGCTGTGCCCAGAACGGCTCTCTGTTGCGCGGCCACGTCCCGTCACGTGCATCTGCAAAGCAGCAGCCGGGCGGGTCCATTCCAAGTAAAACAGCAATGAGCACGTGAAACCCAGGATGTAGAGGACACCGAACCCCCACCGGGGCATTGAGTGCGCGTGGCAGTGTGTGTGTTTGCGTAATTGAGACACGGCGGACGTCAGAACCTTCACCAGTGGCCGCCCTGCTAGGTGCAGGTAAGGGAACAAGGTACAACAACAAGGTACGGCAACCTATGCAGCGCTACAATACCTAGTGCAATGTCCAAGTGTGCGTATATGTTCATCGTAGATGTGGCCGTTATGACCCTAACCACATCAACGGATAAAACGGCCTCGGTATTCCTCATCACTGCGGTGCTCTCTCAGGTCCTCTCTAGACCCCAGTACGACACATGGCAACCCACCAAGAAAGCACCGGGGCTTCATTGACTCCCCCTGACCCCTACTCCCCCTCCCCTCCTCCCGTCCCAAGGGCTCTGCTCCACCTGCCCGCTTGTTCCCCCTCCACAATCCCACCCCCTTTCTCCTGTCCCCATTCCCTAACCCACCCGTTTGCAAAGCAGCAGCCCCAGCTACTAGATCCAAGCTTACATGCAAACTTGCACAGCGAACTGGGGGCCACCAGGTCCAGGGGGTCCTGCCAAGAAAGCCTTAGTGATGCCTCACTGAGCGCCGGTGTGACCACCGCAGCGACCGCCCAGGGAGCTGCAGCCGAGACCGCTGTCCCGGAAGCTGAGGACACTGAGGACACTACACTGGGGCGCAACCCCCGGGCGCACCCCGGAACGTCCAACGCCGCCGGCCGCTGCCCCGCCGCCGCCGTGCCTGTTGGGCCCCCCGGCGTCTCAGACGTCACGTCCACCTTGCTCCGCACCGGGGATGCAGCCGCTCCCTTCGTCTCCTTCGACGCAACGCTATGGCACGGCTTTTTGATGCCACTCCTGACCGCACCATGGAAAGGTGCGTCCTCCTGCTGGAGCCTCCTTCGGGACCCAAAGCCGGGATCTCGTTCGGAAGGCGGTGGCGACGATGGTGGCAGCGGTGGATGCGGTCGCCCCGCCGACGTGACAGCTGATTCACCAGTGGCACCAGCATGGGGCAGAACAGCGACGGGTTGTCCTGATGCTGTTCGAAGAAGCGTAGGTGTGGAGGAAGAACCCAATGGCAACCGAGCAGCGGCTATAGGCTGCTGCTGGGCTGTATTTGAGGCTTGGCGAACAGCGGATGTTGGTGAAGGTTGTACCGGCTCCGTAGCGGCTGCGGCAGGCGCGGCGGCGCAAGGACGTCGCTTCATGGTGGTCGGCGGCGTCTGGGGCCGTAGTGGTGTTCGCTCCAAGCAGGCCGCTGGGTAGCCGCCCCCAGGGGGTTGGGCCTTGTAATGCCCCGTCACGTCGCTGGTGGACGATCCCGCAGTGCTGCTGGTTTCCGAGGTGCCTGTGGAAGAGTGCGCTGCCAGGGCCGCGTTGCAGGCCGCCTCTACGGCTTGTAACCGCAGTGCCAGACGGGCGCGATCTGCGAGGCACCGTGGGGAAGTCAGTCCTGGGAAACTGGTGTTCAAGAACACAAACGGGGCCTTTGGAAACCCAATAATGAGAAAGGGAGGAAAAGGAGGCTGAGATCTAGCATCGCGTCAGGTGTATATTCCCAAAGAAAGCTTTTTCCGGGCAATCGCGCGCACCTTCCGCCAGTTGTTCCAGGATCTGGAGTTTAAGGCCCAACGAGGGCTTTGAAGCTTTCTGGTAAGGGGAAGGCAAGAGTGGAGAGGGTTACGGACATCTGCGCAGACACGGTAAAGACTGGTAGAAGCATGGGGTGCAAGGAAATCTGAAAACGAGCACGTCGCTAACGCCAATGAGGGACGGAGCTGAGCGGTGGCCGGTCGGGAAGCGCCCCATCCAACTCGTGCACCACTGATGCGTGCTCCAGTTTACCAACCGAGCGACCACCCTTTGATCATCTGCAAACCCACGCGCATATGGAATGCACGCACCTGCTTGCGTGTTAGCGCCCTTGGACTCTTTGACGTAGCTTGAGCGGAACCATCGCGGTGCAAAAGTGGGAACTCAGCTGCCCCCCAAGCGGGTGCAGCAGGCTTAGCCAGCGCGTTGTAAACCCTGCGAGCACGTCCATCTGCTTCGGCACGCCGTGCCTTGTCCGTCGGAGCCAGATACCCTGAGCCGCAAAGGCGAATACAGTAGTTCACGTCGACTTAAAATCAATTCATGCCTTGTTTAGCATATCCTTTAAGAATAAATTGCAATGACAGGACAGACCTTAAGCCTTGCAAGAGCCAGGGTTTGGGAACTGAAACTAACCTTGGGTTTGTAGTCCGGGGCCTTGAGTACAGGACTCTGGGTAACCCATAAAAATTAATGGGCTATAACAAACAGGCATAACCTGTTTTAAATATATGGAAGCACGTAAACTGGAAGTTGCGGCTTGCCGGTCGCTGTCAAGCTGGTTGCATGACAACGGTAATCGAAGGATTCACGACACAGTTGTCCATCCAAATTCATATGCTTCTGGTTTTTTAATATAACATATGATTCTCGATGCCAAACCAAGCGTGAAATCACATTTAGCTATAAGTCATATTCTCTGTGGCTTTGTCCACAGCATCTAAGTGCGTTTACGTTCTACGCTTTCCCTAGTAAAAATGACAACAAAGTATGGCATGTTCCAAGAACATATCTACCTTACACCGACAGATCCGCCAGCAGAGGGCTCTGCCAGCCCGAGCGGCTCGCGGAAAGGGAGTCGGTCCAGCTCACCCGTAGGAACACAGCTCCGCGATCATGGGCTAAATTTTAAAGCCACGGTGGGGCGAGTTGGCAAGGTGCGTTTCTCGGTTTCCGCATAGCGTTGCAGTAATGCTCACCTGTGGTGCCCACCGGGTAGCGTGCGCACAAAGATTCGTTAACACCAGGAGAAAGAGGGCCCGTTGGTTTTCGCGATTCCATTGAGCCTGATGCGTAGGGCGTGCAACTTACACCCTTTGCCTTTGTACAACAGGGAAACGACGCGACCTTCGAGCCGTTCAAGGGTCTCTATAATGGTGACAAATACCTCGACCCGGGCAGGCGGCGCCTACAGGAGGACAACACCCAGCGCAAGCAGCAAGTCGCACCTGCGCCGTTCAAAGCCGCGTCTCCAATGAAAGTCAGCACTACCCCTGGAGACTTTGTGGGGACACTGCAAGGCAAAGTGGAGTACATCCCGGTAAGAAGCCCACGACTTCAACGGGTTTGGAGATGCAGCTCCCCATGAAACGTAAACGGTCCATGGGACTTTGGATTGGTTGATTTGTTCGCGTGACGGTGGAGAACGCGGAGGCTTTTCCCTTTTGGAGCTCGTGTAAGGATCGTGCCATCAACGCAGGGAATGTCGGCTGCACGAGGAAAGAGACGCCTTACGCTGGTTTTGCAAACCCATCATGGTTCTGCCATAATGGGAGTGACCCTGACACGGATGGTGGCGCAGCATACGATTGACGGTCCAGGTCCAGACATTAGGGAAGGCTAATAGCAGTACTGCAGGCTGACGACAATACACGGCCGCTACAGGACACCCAAAATACGTTCTCTCATTTCCCCCTCACTTCCCTTCACCTAACCCTCCCTCCTCGCCGATGCTTCGTCGTCCTCACGTCCATGCTAAGTTCCCCATTTGCTGCCGGTTCCGTACACCCACACAGGGTCGTAGCGTAGCCTTTCAAAAAACCAAGGCCGACGTCCACAACGAGCCGCGTGGCTTTTACACATCACCCGCCAAGAAGGGCACGTACGGTTTCAACAAGACCACCCTCTCAGAGCGGCAGGGTTTCAAGGGCGTGGCCACCGAGTACGAGTACCAGCACGACCCCGATGAGATGCAGCGCCAGCGGCGGTTGCAGGTCGGTGTCCTCCTCGAGGGTAGATTGCGCTCCAAACGGTTGGCGCCCGTCCTTTGGTGGGATGGTCCTTCGTTTCGCAGAGGGTTTGGATGGGTTCATATGTGTATGTGTGTGTCTTGGCTGGGTGACGGGGAGGCGCAAAGCTTCAAATACATGTGCGGTGATGAGGCGAGAAAAGCCAGTCCAGTTGCAGATAATGGATGCCCACGTGCTGGGCCCCACGTTCTGACCAGCACCCCGGCGCACTCGCCACCACTGAAAGCTCCTCTGCCTTTAGCTGCATCCGCCGACCTGCTCATGTACCCATATGTGCACTGGACCACCCGCCCGCACACAGGAGCGGGAAGCGGACCTAGCAGCTCGGCAGCCGCAGCCCTTCCGGCCGTCCCAACCTCCAAAGAAAGGCGGCGCGGGTGTGCCCAACATCACCATCAGCAAAGGGCGGGGTATTGCAGGCGAATACGAGTACGTGCTCGGAGCGGACCCTGCAGTGGCTCCCAAGGACCCAGAAGCAGCTAAACAAGGTAGGAGCGAGAATGAGCTGAGAGGGGCGTTGCGGATTAGCCGGGAGCTTCGTAGCTCAGGGGATGGGTGGGTACGGCGGGTTGAATGGCCGGTTTGTGTCAGGTTTCCGGAGACAGGTCCAGCGCTTGCGTGTTCTCCCGGACTTGGCACGTTCTCCTGATTAGGGCGGCCTCGTTTGTGGACACGCGTGTCTTTGCATCCTGGTGCTACTCGGCTTAGCCGTGCCTCCCCGAACTCACTTGGTGTGTGTGTGGAGGAAGGATCGGGTTTTTTCGTGTGCATGCGCTGCGTCACAGGCTAGAAGCACAAAGGCCCAGTGGCTCAAGTTTCTTCTACTCTGCGATAATTTTTATGTCCGTACGAGCAATTTGGGCTCTGCACCAAAGCGGATAGACTGAAGGCCCCATTCCTGCTGCGTCGTAAGCCCCGTCAACCCGGACTTGTCCCTCCCCTCATCCTTTACAGCAATCGCGGCTGTCAAGGCGGATGGGGGCCCCGCATTCCGCCCCTCGTCCCTAAACCCGCGGCACCTGGGTCGTCATCCCGAGTACCTGCACGACCCCGAGGTTCCCAAGCTAGGTGAGCCGAGGGCCGCATGGTGGTCCAGTAGGAGGCTGTGAGGCGGCTGAGAACCTGGGGGGGAGAAGGGAGGGAACCAGGAATACTGTCTCGTATTTGCGATTGCACATGTCTTTGTGTGGTTCTTCACGATCTGAGCCACGATGAGGGGCATCATGGTACACGAATAGCTGTGTGTGTGCGGGTGTGTGTGGAGGTTGTAGGTCGTGAGGCTGCTCTACCGCGATCCGGCCATTGATTGCCTGTTGTCACGCCCCACCCGCAGAGTCTGAGCATGCACGCAAAAAGGCCGAGCAGCAACGACTCGCATCCACGGGCGCGTGGCGACCAAACAACTCCGAAAAGACCGACATGATTCGCAGCATTGTCCGGATGAATCTTAAATGAGGATAGGGCTGTTGGGCGGTAATTGCCCTGCGCTTTCTCGCGGTGGCGAGAGGGGGTGCAACCCGGTGGTGTATACAGACATGGCCTAGGACACGGCGATACATGGTATAGTGTGGCCAACTTGTACTTCCTGGTGCCCCTCATCAGGAGCTATAGGAAGGGCTTGAGAACTTTGCTGGCTTGTTTGGATAAGTGGCTGGCTTTGGTGGTGTAGATAGGTCAATGGGCTGCCGGGCTAATGTGTTTTTCAATGCGTATAGAATTTATAGTTAGCGTCATGCTGTGGAAGGCGTGTTACGGCACTGTGCTCGGCGGTCAGCTGGCTAATATTGCACATGTGGGAGGCAGGGCGGGCGGGACGCATTCGACTCAGTGCCCGTGTGGATGAGGGAGCCCGTGTGGATAGAGCTGCTGAAGCTCGGGACTGCCGCAAGACTGGCACAGTGCGTGCATAGGGTGGCTGCTTCAGCGCCTGGAGCTAGGCTCTTTGATTGGTTTCGTGTCTTGAGTGGACTTCAGTTATACCTTGGGTCGGCACAGCGGCTGCTGCCGACTGAGGGACATGTGCAGGGCTTGCATGGCATACCGCATCATGGGCCCCAGGGCGTGGAGGCGCCAGTGTTTGGCTGGCAGTGGTGATCCATTCCTTATGTAAAGCTCTGCCACCATTGTCCGACTATATTACTCCTTGTGACGATCACTCTGTCTGCGGTCGGGAAGGGGCTGCTGTGACCCTGCTGCGTGACCATTTCATTTGGTCGGGGACAATGATAGGGAACCAATGGAAATACGGCCAATGCCAGTGGCACATTGATGTGTGGCAGGGATCTGGTTGCAGGCAGGTACGATGTAATGGTTAGTTCTCATGTGGGCATGCTGGAGGTGCGGTGCGGTGGACTAGCCAGGAGGACGCATCTTCGCGGGAGGAAAGGGGAGGTAGAATTGGCCGCACAGGATTGCTGACTTCACGCAGATAGTAAAGGCAGGTTGGTGCCGGCCCATCAAGCGTTAAACGGAAAGCGAGCAGCATGCTAACTTGCTCGTTATAGGAGGCAGCTGCTACTGAAGCTGTCCCCCCTTGACTAATGCGATAGCTGTCTTGTAATTTGGGGCAGTGGGCGGCTGCACAGGCTCCAGCGGCACGTATGTCTCGGGGTCCAGGTCATATGTTCGATCCGCGTCACCGCCGGCGAGGTCACCGCAGGACAGGAAGGGCACCGCGCGAGCCACCAGCAGCTGTGCCTTGAGGGGCGAGGGGACCGTACGAGGAGAGGGCCAGGGGGAGGGGGGTATTAGGTCACCTGCGCGGGTCACTTGGCGCCTCACTGCACTGGGCGCCCTCCCCCTTAACATTCCCATTTGCGTCATGCAGGGGAAACACGCCCGGCGCAACATGAAACGCCCACCAAATCGCGCTTGGACAGGGTAACCCTAGCTCCTCTCACCCTAAAACCCAGACCGCCGCCCCATCCCGACCAGTCGAGATGCACCAGTCGTCCTCCTCTCACCTCCTGATCTCCGTTATCTGAAAAGAGGCGCTCCTGAGCGCCCGCTAGCAGCGACTGCAAGCCGCCCGGGCCCGCCAGTGCCTCCGGGGGGTCGAACCTGCGACCCACCACGAACGCCTCAATGGAGGAGTTGCGGGAGGATTTGGGTTTGGCCACATAGACCTCGGGAAAGAGCAGCTTCAGCTGGCTGTACAGCAGAGCAACGTCCTTGCCTGCGTAGCGGGGGGCAGTAGCGTGGCGGTGCAGCAGCGGCTCAGAGGGTCTTGAAAGGGACCCCAATCGGGTGTGGCGGCAACAGCTGAATTAAGATTCAACCTACACGTCCCGTACAAGTGCGGCACCGTAGGTGGCGACGGTTGCAAAGGCGGTGTGCAGCAACTGAAAGAAGAACTAATGTCAGGCCAAGGAATCTGATGGCTATATCACCGGGTGGGTGGGTCGGACCGAAAGAGCGTATTATAAAAGTTAAACGAGGCACATCGGTGCTTACTTGCACCAACCTGGAAGCGGTGCTACCCACTAGTTATGAGCTTTTCTACATTCCGCCAACTTGGCCGTCGTACGGCCACGGCGGATCCTTCTCAGCACCTCCATTGTAATTTTCGTATTCCTAGCCTTGCTGAGCAGATGCGCGTCCGTACCCCGAAAGATCTTGGCCACGAAGGTCCCTCCAGGTCGAAGTACGGCACACACAATGGACAAAGCCGCCAGCAGGAGCTGGGCCTGCAGGGAGGGGGCAGGAGCGGAAACACCCAGGGAGGGGAACGAGGGAAAGGGAGGAGCGGAGGAATGTCAGGAAAAGAAGGGCGGTCGACCTTCCGGATGAGGTGCTGAGAAGGACGGTGATGACGGCAAGGTGGATCCAGGTAGACTCCCAGGGCGGCGCTCACCGAGTGCCAACGTGGCTGCAGCCCCGGCCCCCCAGTGCTCACTAATATAGAGAACGTGGAAAAGTGAGGACGGATACAGAGGAAACACAATAAAAGGAAAACAGAGCTCAGCTAAGACGTGCACAAACATGCTAGGAAAAACGAAGGCAGGGGCGGCACCCGCGGACACCGGAATGAAAGCCGAAGAAATGAGGTGCGGTGAGGGGAGTGCTCCGGAGGCAAGTGCGTCTGAACGGAAGGACGGCAACAGCACCCGCACATAAGAGCCCGTCACGGTGTCGTACATATGGAGCATAACAAAGTGGGGACAACAAGATGCAGCGCTAATGCTACGGAGGCTTCCATGTCGCCACCTGGACGTTGTCGCTACCGGGATGTGCGCTACCGTGGGGGCCGATGCAGTGCTAGGCCAACGGGCACCACCTACTTGGACGTACTCGTCCAGGTCGTGCAGCCCGGTCACGTCAGGGGCGCCGTCGCAAACGACTAGATCCGCTGGCTGCCCGTCAAAGTGTGATATGACCTGCGGGGAGAAGGGAAGGCGGGAAATAGGTCTCCAGTAATCCGTGTTATCACCTTTCGCTTCTATGCCCTATATTTAGAGGTAACACCCAGTGCTACCGGCTGTCACCCGCCCGCTGCGCTTCGCACAACCTTCACCCAAACAGAAAAGCAGGGACGATTGTCTAATGCGCCTACAAGAGGTACAGCACTGGGCACTTGCCAGCGGGGTCAACCTGGGGAACAACAGGACAGGAGCCAGGGGAAACCAACCAGGCGATTGATGCATCCATAGCAGGTTGCCTCTTGCATCTCCTTATTATTAAAGTTCCAATGAGCCGTCCATCATCGCATTTACCAACGCCGCTACCATGGCAAGCAACACCATATTGTCGCACCTGCTTGGCGGTTACCTCGCTGGTGATGTCGCCCTGCAGCTGAATGACCCCCTCGATGGGCGCCATGGGCTGAAGATCCACCGCAACAATGGTGGGGGGCGAAGGGCTGCCAGAACGAACCGCGGGGAGGTACAGCTTGCGGCTCAGAACCTTCAGGTGCAATAAAACACACACGCACAGGCGTCTCAGGCTGGGGCTGGCGGGGCTGGTGGGCGAGGATGAGAGGAGATAGCATTGTGAGCCTCGTGGCTTAGGGTGCCACCGCACCGAAGGAACAGTGAGGGCTGTTGAGGAAAATGGGCTTGCGGTGCGTTGCGTGATGTTGTTAAGGCGCATGTTGTAACTGTGCGATGTGGCGAGTCGTCATTTCCGTGGCTTCTTGCCAGTGTGTCATCAAGACGGCAAGGAAGGATTCGTGCGGCGCTCGGTTAGTGATGCATAATATGAGGCCAGTACGTCCGTAAGGATCAGCTGTTCTGTGCTGATGAACGCCAATTGTGTGCCGATGTCTGCAGCGAATGCTGTTGACGGTTATTGTTAGCCCTACCTGACTCCAACTGCCAGGTGCTGCACATAGGTCCACAGCGTGCGCGACACCTGAAATTTGGTGAACTTGGACTTTGTTGTTAGGAGCAAGCGCGCTTGTATGCTAAGGCGGCGTGTGAAACAGAGTTGCTGCTGGTAAAGCTACAGGACAGTAAATAGCCAAATTAATTTCTCACCACTGAAGATATCGAATGCTTCATCAATTTGTAATAATTTGTAAGCGCTCCGAGCTCGCCAACCCTCTTCCTTCGCTTTACGGTAGAAAATGTCGCGCTTATCTTTCGAGGACTTTCCCATCCTTTAATTTTGTTTTAACGTCTGCTGAAGATGCCTTTTGACCAGTATGGACTTTTACTTCGGAGCTCCGGAACCAGAACTTCATTGCCACCCAGTAACGACTCTGCTGGCGTCATTTTTTCCACACGAAGGATTCTGTTGTGTTCGCTCTGAATCTGCAAGCGTCTGTAGAAGGCCTTGCGATTAGAACAAGTTAGTGGTGACCATTGCGCGCAATGTTGTTAAAGTCTTCCTGCCGTCTTACCTTACCTCCACGGATATGCGGTCGAGTTGCATTAATGCCTGGAGCTCTGGGGCGTGGATGCCGAAGGCAGCTCTGCCGTGCGAACCCTGAGGAGCTTACACCTGTTCCAATTATCCGCGAAGAAGGTGCTTGTGATCAGATCTGGATGCATCAAAGTCTTTTTGCTTTTGTGCTTTCGATTTGTGAATCGATATCGTGGTTGCCAACACAGGGCAAGTGCCCTCGCTGCTCCGGTCTAGCCCGGATGAGTTTGGGGAGGAGGATGAGGGAAGTGGCGCGCTCCAGAAATTTCTTTACCCGGATCCGGAGGAGCTTCCTCCACAGGAAAGCCTGAGCATGCCGATTTGGGACCACCTGGATGAGTTGCGCGAGCGCGTGCTTGTGGCGGCACTTGCGTGCGCAGTAGCCATCCTAGCATGCTTTGCTTTCAGCAAGGACCTCGTTGTGTTCCTGGAGGCCCCCGTCGCTGACGCAGGCGTGCGCTTCCTGCAGCTGTCGCCTGGAGAGTTCTTTTTCACGACACTGAAGGTAAGTAGGGATCCACGGGACCGGTCTCAAAACCATCTGGGCTCCCCCTGAAATAGTAGCATTAAGACACTCATGCATGGCTCCAGGAGCGGGATAACCCCCTTCCTAACTCTGCGCTCTCCATTTTCCCGACCCACAGGCCTCGGGCTACGCTGGCCTCCTCTTGGCCGCCCCCACTGTACTGTACGAGGTAATTGCCTATGTCGTACCTGGCTTGACGAAATCAGAGCGCACCTTCCTGGCGCCCATCGTGTTCGGGAGCTCCATCTTGTTCTACCTGGGGTGAGTGATTGAACCTTACCACCCTCGAAATACTCAACCCGGGCCCGGGCTCTCGGGAAACTTCGGCGGGGGAGACTGGCCCGGGTGGATGATCTTAAGCGGCACTTCCTAGTCTAACTGGACAGCATGTACGTGCCTACCTACGGGGTTCGTGGGGAAGCAGTCGGGAGCGGGTCAGGGGGAAGTGGCAGAGACGCGAAGGAAGCACAAAACCGCAGCACGGAACAGAGTCCGTATGTTATCTTCTGTTCGGTCCAAGCCTGGGTGCTTCGTTCCCCAATCACCGACTGAATTCGGTTTCATTTCCCGTAACCGCTCCCTCCTTCGGCCTCTTCCTGATCCCAGACTGGCATTCTCGTACGAGATTCTAACTCCGGCGGCCCTCAACTTCTTCGTGTCATACGCCGACGGTGCTGTGGAGAGCCTGTGGTCTATCGACCAGTACTTCGAGTTCGTGTTGGTGCTGATGCTAAGTACGGGTTTGTCTTTCCAGGTGAGCAGGAGGATCGAGTGTCGGAAGAGGCGGAAACCAGAAGGGCGTGTGGGCAGGCAGGGGAGCGGAAGGAGGTTTCACTCCGGAGGCAGGTGCAGCCGGACAGGCGCGAGGGGGAATGGAGTCGCGTATGTGGTCGGGGTTGAGCGCTAAACCCGTACTGACAGTGTAGGGAATACGGGTACGTGGAAGGTGGTGACATGCCAAGCATGTGGGAAGGTGTGTGAGGCGCAAAGGACAAGAGCTGGAGTATGCTTCCCTTCAGTCCGCACGAACGTCTGTCTGTCAGTCAGCCTGCATACCTAACTGTCTGTCTGCAATACTGTCTTCCTCGCTTCCCTCTGAACAGAGGTGTCACTTAACCGCCATACTCGAACCTGTGTAGAGTTCCCCTTTCCTCCAGTTCGTCCGTACTCAGCAGGGCCCCCCAACCGCCTTGCATGCATGTCTTGTTGTGATAGTTCCCGCTTCCCCCTGCTATGCTGCCGCACAGGTTCCTGTATTGCAGGTGATGTTGGGCCAGTTGGGCATTGTGACCAGCGAGCAGATGTTCTCCATTTGGCGATGGGTGGTGGTGGGCTCCACCATTGCGGCGGCAGTGCTGACACCGTCTACCGACCCCTTCACCCAGGCAGGGTTTCTGAGTCGCGTCCTGCAGTGCCCAGCCCCCCTTAGGTCCTACTGCTGACAGGGGGGGAGCATAGTTACTGTACCGGTGGGGAGGGGAACCCGGGCACCATGCAACGCAATTGTTATTGTGTTGGATCTTCAGATCGCAGGCAGCACCCGTCCGGGGCCAGTAGGCTGTTCGGCAGGGCGAGCATGCCATGTGCTTTCCTGATGTCTTTTGAGTGGGTGTGAGCCAGGCGGGGGGTTCCCTGGCGGTGCACACCTCGTCTCCTTTCTACCTACTTGGGGCGCTGGGCCCTTCCACCCTGCAGGCGCTGCTGGCCATTCCGCTTGTGGGGCTGTACATGGGCGGTGCCAGCGTTGTGCGGGTCATTGAGCAGTCACGCGGCCAGACAGCCAAGGCGGTGTGAGGCTTTTGCTTCCGGAGGGGCTCTCTGGGCGGATGCGAATATGGCCCCGCGCAGATGCGGCGGGCGGGCTGTCGCGGCGCGGTGTCTGTCGCGGCGGGGGCGGCTGCTTTGAGGCTTCTCTGCGGCGGAGTTGGAGCGTCCTTGCACTCCCGGATTACATGGGAGGAATTCGGGGCAGTAGAGGAAGGCCGGGAGCGGCTTATGGGGGGGTGGGGTGTACCGGTAAGAGAGTTAGGAACAAGCCGTGCTGGCGCGCCGAGTGGAGGACTTTTCGCGTTTTCTCTTGCGTTTTGGGGCCGTAATATAAGTCGTTGGCAGGTTCGACGGGACTTCCATGACCGGATGACACAGTCGGTTGATATATGGTCCAGAACGCGGCCAGGTGTACAGGGGAGGTCTCAATATTGTCCCCATAGGATTTGGTTTCGGAAATTTGCATGGGAGATGGTATAGAAAGTGTCGCTCGCTGTAGGGATACGTGTGTTGCCAAATAAAGCAGGTCGTCCTAACTTCTAAGTTCGTCATCGCTGGGCTGCGCATACGTTACAACATCGCTTGGCGTATTTTCCGCTGGTGCTTTAGGCGGGTGCCAATACGGACTATATACGTGTGTGATAGAGGTTTCCGACTGTCGACAATGCTTTGTCTGCACGCTGCTGTTGGGAGAGGGCGCACATAGGATGAGTCGTTTGGCTTTCGATTTGCGTTGGAGAGTTGAATGTTGGACGTTTAGCCCACCGCGTGCAAGTTCGCGCGGCTGCAGTGCGTAACGCACGATTCTGGTACGCCGGTGTGTGCGCGTGTGTGTATGTGTGTGCGTGTGTGTGTGTGTGTGTGTGCTTTGGTAGTGGGATAATTTCTTGAGCTTATCGGCCACTTCGACGCTTGTTATGGGTTCAAGCGGCCTTTGTTGTGGGTCGGACACGAGCAGGACACGGACAGTGATGTCCGGTGCCATGCGCATGTGCTGTTCGACGTGCCGTGTAAGTAGGGTCACGTGTGGATTTTGCCATGCCGGACGTCAGGAAGCCGCTACCCGGATATTGTCGCCCGCAGGCAGTGCAGCGGAAACCGTAAGCAGCTTGTCCAGCGCCGCACCACACCCCGTGCTTGGCCGTCATTACCGAGCGGCAAGGGGCAAAGCATGAAGTACTTCGAGACCCTGTACGGCACTATGGTTCGACGGGCTGAGGCCGACCGGCCGTAAGGCGTAAATGTGTCATTATCTACTGTTATTGCAGAAAGACATTAGCGGTAGCGTCTTCACGCTATAGAACTTTACCCCAGCTCTCGGTAGCGGTTGCCAGAGCGGTTCCAGCTTAGTTCCATGATTTTTCTAACATGACAATTATTCGCGTTAAATTATTATTTTTGACAAGATTAGGCCACGGCAGAGGTGCGTTTCCCACGCTGGATAGGTTTCTGATGTCTGTGTTCTCGGTGCTTTTGGAGCAATCTTTTCCTTTTTATGATCAGGATCTTCATTTCCTGCATCCAAAGCCTTGATTGACAGCCTCGATGCAGCGACGGCGGCGAGCGATGGTTGCAGCACAAGCTGTATATCGGACAGCTGGGGTGGCCATCGGTAAGGCTGCTTCGGCAAAGAGTCACATTGTTAACGGTAGCTGCATAACGTTTCCATCCCATCGCCGGACCGCAGTGCGATCGCCTGCTTTGCCACCCAGGCTTCGCGGGCTTCCAATAGATACAATTTCATCCAGCCCGTGGACACAAAGTATGTCACTGCACTACTGGATCAAGCGACTTTGGTGGAACACGCTGCTATACCGGTGCTGCGATACGGCGCCTGGTTCGACCCAGAGCAGGTCACGCGGACTCTGCAGCGGCTACCTCGCATGCTGAGGTACCAACGACGGAATGGCCCCAAAGGTAACGGCATTGCACTGCGACGCCCAGTTCCTCTGCGGACTGTGGTCCGGAGCAGCACGGGATTAAGGGCTTCCGTCCGCCCGCTTGCCTGCTCTTCACTCATAACCCTCCTTCCCACTGCCCGCGGACGCTGTCTGTAACCAGGCCTCACGAAAAACTGTACAGTTGATTACGCATGTGATGCCGTTTTTGTTCCCTTCTCCTGTTGTTCGTTCGTTCCATCAGCCTCTGCCGACAGCGCTTCTGCCACCTCATTGCGTCTGCTTGACGCTCTGGGCTCCCGGCTGGCCCAGGTGGCGCCCGACTGTACGGACGAGCAACTGACAAGGGGCTTATGGGCATTTGGAGTTAGCAGGTCAGCAAGGTTGATTTGTGTTTTGGGTGGAGGGGCACGGGGTGGGGAGGGAAGGGCATTGCGGGGAGGGGAGAGAGATTGTCTTTGCCCCCAGTGCATTGTGAAAGACTGTCCGGGCAGGTCTGCAGATGAATGCGCATCACTTTTTAGTAAACGGAGAATTCGCGACGGGAAGGAGAGCTTTCCAATGTCCTCTCCCTGGTACTCCGTAAGACTGTCCTCATGTCCTGACCCCCCTCCCTCCTCCTGTCCGTCCTGTCCTCCTAGGCGTCACCACCCGGATGTTATCCGAGTGGCTTGCGAGCAGCTGTCCCTCCGATTGCCCTCCCTCACTACCTCCCACCTAGCCACCACCGCATGGAGTCTGGCTGCAGCCACCAGCACAGCACCCGACCCAGCCAGGGAGCCCGTGAGGCAGGCGCTGCAGGTCCGGGGGGCGTGGAGGGGCATGTGGGGAGCTGGGAAGAGCTGGCTGCGGTTTCGGAGGGCACAGGGGCTGCATGCCTGAAATGAGTTGGACAACGGTAGTGGTGGTTAAAGGAGCCGTCATTGGCAATGGTTGGGTCGGGTCGGGTAATCGTTATGGGGTCAGGGAAGGGTCCCCCTCCTGGTGCAATGCCCCAGATACATACATATACATGTAAATGGAATCTTGACTCGTAACAGGCCATTGCTCAGCACCTGGTCGCGACACGCCCCGCCAACATTGCGGTACCAGTAACGTCATCGACACCACCAGCAAAGCCATCATTATCATCATCATTGCCACGGGGGCAGCTCAAAGATGAGGCCGCCGCCGCCACCGCCACCGGCCCGGCGGCTGACGCAGTCGCTGCGGCCGTGGCTGCGGATCGTGCTGTGTTGGCAGCTGACCGGCCCTGGCTCAACCACCGGTCGGCTGTGAAGCTGGCCTGGGCCTTTGCTTCCCTGGACATCAGGCACACGCAAGTGGGTAGTGAGCTGTCTGGAGGAGCGAGTCGGGAGGGGTGGGCGGAGGTTTGGGCGAGGTTGCTGCTGGTGAACCTTGGTGGCCTCGAGCTAGGGGGCCCAGGGAAGGAACTCCTGAGTCGGGCTAGCATGTGGAGTAGGGTTCAAGCCCTGCATGTTCTGTGATCTGTCTGTGCGCTCTTTCCTTCTATTTTGTTGCGTGCTTGTGTGTGTGTGTGTGTGCGTGTATGTGCTTTCATCCCCCCATCCCGCACCCGCGTCAATACCCCGCACCCGCGTATCCCGCACAGGCGCTGGATATCATTGGCGATGCGGCAGCTGCCCGGATCAGCTCACAGCTGCAGGTGAGGGCGGTGCGGAACACCTTGCCCTGCCCTTGGCCCGGTAGAGGGGCCGGGTGGAGGAGGGAAACGGTGTCCGTAAACTCCCAACTGTACGTAGGAAAAAGAGGGGACTAGGGAGTACAGTGGGATGTGGATACAGCCTATGAGAAGTTAATATTAATTGATTAACTTACGTGTCCCACAATACTTCCTAGTCCCCATGTTTGATTGCTTACAGCTTTTGTGTAACAGCCCCACCACCATTTTTAACCCCCATCCCCTCCTCCTTCCCACCCCGCCCGACCTGCCTCAGGCTCACGACTGGTCCTCCGGTCCGCTGCTGCCCCGCGCCACCTTCCTGTACTGGACCATTCGGGGCTGGCAGGCCTGGCCCCGGCCCAGACCCCCTCGAGCCCGAACCGGCGGGCGGCCCAGCCGCTACCTGAGGGATGAGCGGCCCCGCCGGGTGCTGAGGGACTTCACACTGGCCTCCCTTGCGCCTCTGCTGGCGGCCTTCCGCAGGTGAGGCGGAACCGTGGGGTGAAGGGTTTGGGGATAAAAGGAGGGGGGGAAGACGAGGGTCTATAGATGGGATGGAGTGGCGGGACGGAAGGCGGAAGGCACATGGAAACGGGTGGTTCTTGTTACGAGCACGTGCAAGTTCGGAAGGGTGTTCTGGCCAGGTCCTCGGAGGACGGTATGACCAGGTCCTTCCCTCCCTCAACACCCCACATCACAACCGGATAACCGTGGAAACAAAGTCGTTCCTTCTTGGTGGCAACGGAGTCAGCTTGTCTCCGTCTTCTAGGCCGTATGTTGAGTGTCACAGAGTGGGTTGCTTTGTGGCCATTTGCATGTACATGCATGGTGTTGAGATCCCGCTTGTGTAAGGTATTGATGCCCTCCCCCAGCCCTGCACTTTACCACCTTCCTGCCCTCCTGACTGATTAACGCTATCGCTGTTGCTGCGGGTCTGTGTGCAGGTTGGGCCACCGACACGAGGGCCTCTTGCAGGTGATGCTGATGGTGGTGTGGTGTGTGGGAGGGTTGTGGGAGGGTTGGTCCGTGTTCTCCTCTCCTTTCGAGGCGAGTAGAACACGGGGGAGGCATGGAGAAGGTGAAGGCAGGTGTGTGGAATGGGGCAGCCAAGGGCAGATGTATGGCGACGATGAGCACCTTGCTTGAGCAGGGTGATATCCACTTGTGCCATCAGGGCCAAAAGCTCTGCCCCTCGCCATGCGGCCAAGCTTACTTCCCTTCATGATTATACACCGCCCGATTTATCTGTGGCCCCCAATCTTTGCAACCCTCCTTTCCATCATCATATCGATTGACCCCCCTCCACCCCCTCGCTGCATGCAGGCCAGTGCCCAGCACGTGGTGGCATCTGCCGGCCCCTCGCTGCGAGTGGCCCCCACTGACCTCACCCGCGTCGTCGGCGCCTTGGAGGCCCTCGATTTCCGCCACCCCCCCGCACTCGCCGC